ATCTATACTAAATATTAAATCATAAGTAGAAACGAATCGGAACGGAACGAGGTTGAGTCGCTAGTTATATATATTTCTAAAATGCCAACGTCCATAAATATACTATAGCTGAGCAACATCGAGTTAATGCTTGGATATGCTTGTTTGAAAGACGTATAAAAGGCGCCTCGTTCGCAGAACGTTTTATTCATAAGTAACACGGCCACGCTTATGGTTTTAGTTGAGACAAAGTTTTTACTAATGTCATATTAACACTGTTACTAACTAGCTAGCTTGGCAGACGATATATCAAGTAGCAAAATAGTCTTGGCCAAAGTAATATATAAGAACAAAAGCTTTAGAAAAGATTTATAAGTGTCCTGATTAAGAAGGGACCTCTTATAGAGGCATGTATAAAGGTGTTTTGAACTATAAGAACATATAAACTTATAGTGAACGCTTACAGATATATATAAGATCTCCTTGTAAAGTACATATAAGAACAAAAGTTATATAAATACACTTTGTAAGACTTATCACTCTTGTTGATTTTTTACACTCAGTACAGTAATTTATAAGATTGTTTGCTCTTATAACTGCCATGGGTGAGTGTAATATAAGAGCACTGCTGTTACTAAAGCATGATATACAACTGTTGAATAACCAAAAAATTGTAAGTGTAATTTGTCTTAGGCAGTGCGTTTTAAAGAGAGCAGCATGTAGGAAGATGTTTTATAGGAACACTTGAACTCACAAACGTTATAAGCATGCTTTATTAAGTGTATTAACGACCTAACCTTTATAATTTTCCTCAGTGATTGTTATATGGATAAATGTTTATTTATAAATATAATATATATATTTTTTCAATCAATGAAAATCCACTTCATTTTTAGGTATATACGAGTATGTGGGAGATAAAAAGCCTTCTAACTTAGAAGCGACGTTAAGTAGATTATAAGTTGCAAAAAATATTTATTAAATTTAAAATTCATCATGCGATAAACCGAAATAATATACTACTAAAACTCCAAGCAAAATAGGAAGAAAAAACTTTGAGAGTTGTTTCGTAGAGATACTTAATTACATAATCAATAATAGTAATAAATATGTTGTGATATTAACGTTATTAAGTAAACATTGTGATTTTTGGTTCTTCTTTTTTACTAAGGAACCTCAAACATTATGAAAAATGGCCGGCGACAATTGTTTAGGCTAGTGTTTATTTAATAGCTTGTCTTAAAACGTACTAACTATCCTTAAATAAGAATATTAAGTCTTACAGTGGATTTAACTAAGAGCGATTGATCTTTTAAATGTTCTCATAAAGTAACCTGTAAGTCAGATTTGTAATAATGTAAAAAAATGGCGATATTTTCTTTTATTTCACATTTTACTAATTTAGCAATTATCATTTAAAACACATTTTAGAAATGGCCCGAGGGTGTAATGTTATTTATATTAAAATTCCTTCGAATAAATCGACTCCGCAGGTAGATCAACATTATGATAAATACTTACTCGTAGAAGCAGCTAATAAGTATATTGGTATTACATTAATATCAAGTAAATACTTCCATTTTTAATATACTTTTTATTAAACAAAAATCACAACTTAGGTTTCTCATGATTTTTGACACAAAAATTCTCTTAAATTGGGATCATAAAAGAGACAAATAAGACGAATTATACTTAGAACGACATTAATAAAACTACACAATGGCATTTTGCCTTTACACAATGCCAATGTAAAACACTTGTAACACTTATTTGCTTTTACAACAGAATTAGGCAGATCACTGTAAGTTTGAAAACCCTCTTCATATGACCATAATACAATAACAGTAAGGGTAAACGCTCTTACTAAGTGCGCCCAATTCCACACTTACCAACGTTTGTAAGTATACTATAAGAGTAAGAAAAATGTACTCTTAGGATACCTGTAAGACTAAATTTTGCTAGTTGGGAATTTGGGATATTCAGCCGTATTCTGAATACATTTTTTTTACCAGCGACCCTTGATTGTAATTTATCTGTTACTCCAGATCATAGTTTGTAATCCATCCAAATCCGACCAGCCGTTACGGCGTGAAGGAATAACAAACATACAAACTTACGCATTTGTATTAGTAGTCGGGTTTTACCGTTTTATAAATATAGATATTACTAGTAATTAGAAACTTCCTAATATCATAACATAGTTGTGAGACATCTACAAATTTTTATTAGCTGTAATACCTCAATCGATCATAACGTTCAAAGTTACACGACCACTTAAGGGGTGATAGGTACGTGTAAGAACGCGAACTTGTGGCTCGAGGAACTGTATCGCGGAGTCACCCTAAGTATGAAAAGTTTAAAACTTCGCAGAAGGTGGTTAGCCATCCAACCAGTTCGAAATTATGTTTATTTTGCCAAGTTTTTTTTAAGTTGGAAAATGCATTTACGCATACTATCTGCATACATACAGTTATGTGGGACTCGCCGACCAAAAAAGCCATTACTATCCACTAACCGTATTGCGGTGATTTGTGTTGGCGGTGATTTTGACGGCTATGAACTCTCTGCCGCAATCCACTTTGATACACGTTTAATTTTTTTTAAGAAAAATAAAATATTTAAAAAAAACAGAAAAAAACGAATATGTAGGCAGCAAATTAAATCAAAATGGAAATCGTAAATATATTTATTAATTTGCGTCAACATTGTAAAGCAATCGGTAAAGAAATTGCGCAGAGTATCTGAAGATTTTGCACAAACAAACATTTATATTTTATTTATATAGAAAATATATCCATACATATTATATTTTTTTATTTACATCTTTACATATAATAAGGTTCTAAACTAGGCCGAATCTATAGTTTTTAGAACTGTCTCTCTGTCTGTCTGTCTGTCTGGGAACGCATCACGAGAGAACCACTGAACAAATAGATTTTGATGAAATTTGGTACAATAATAGCTGATTATCTGGGTTAAGATATAAGATACTTTTTACTGCAGGAAAACATCTCATCTCTGAGAAATTTATATTAAACTTTAAAACATAACCAGGAACAAACCCGAGCGGAGCGAGGGTGAGACGCTAATTTTAAATAAGAATTGAACTCACGACCTCTTTTGCCAACCCACTGCCAGTAAAATACAATAGAAGATAGCCATAGCTATCCTACAGTATGATATTAAAATCAGAAGACTGTTTTATATCTTTATACGTACTTTATTTTAATTTGAACAATAATGAAAGCTTTAATTTCGGTGTTCCGCTTTGAAATATATAGCATGGTCATATTATTCATGAGAAAACGTTTTTAGTGCTCTCCAATGGGAAGCCCGCTTCAAGAATCAACATTTGGTTTTAATGTTGTCTTAAATGATAAAATATAATCGAGCTCTTTTATCATATAGAGACTTTTTCTATAAATATAAAACTTGCTTTTTAAGTTTTATTTAATACTAGCGGGTCAGCTTCGCCGTTCTCTAGGAAAACAAAGACACATCTATCCCACGAGATCCATACATGTTTTCCGAACTAAAATATAGCCTATGTGCTGTTCCAAACTATAACGTATTTCTATGCCAGATTTTATCTAGATACGTTCAGCCGTTCTGGCGTGATTGAGTAACAAATATTCATCAAAACTAGAACAATCTTTCTTCTAACATTCTACATCTAAACTTTCAGTAAGATTGTTCCGTATTCAAACCTTATTATTGTATTAAAAAATATCGATTTTTCTTATCCTTCTTAACTATGTTTTATTGAAATTATATTTTGAGTCGGATGATGCTTTTTCATATAAAGAAATAATAACAAATAAAAAGTAAAATTAAGTGCCTTCATACTACAAAATATACCTTTGTGTCCCAAAAAGTACTTCTTGTGAAAACTAATAAGGAAATAACAATAAATGCGTTACTCAATTACCATTCAATATATAGTCTATTGAAATGAAACATTATTGAAAAATATCTATTACACGTGTATTTTGTGATACTTTGAAAGGTCTTACCTGTGTCCGACTCGCACTTAAATTATTTCTTAGGTGTTTGAAGTAAAACTTGTTTAGACGTGACAAAATACATTGGAGAAATGCATGAAGCGTGAGTCGCGGAAGTGAGAGTCAAATTTATTATTATTAATTAAAAAAAACATATATTTTTATAACTATTATTATGCATAAAAATATGTATTTATTATTATTATCGAATATTTATAACTGTGGGATGAATATACAAGTTAAATAAAAGCTATTATGACTAATTGTTGCCATGGTAACCGTTGTTATTGTATGACAAATGATATGTAACATTATATTCTTTCCATATATGATATTAGAGGCCTATGTCCAGCAGTGGACGAAAGCAGGCTGATTATGATGATGATTATGATGATGATTATGATGATGATGATGATGATATGATATTACATAAATACATAATTGTAATATGCCTAATATACCTTATTTAATTATTGATTTGTTTTAATTAAATTGCGATATTTGCCAAAGAAATTTTACTTCAACCGCGCTAAAGGTTAGACACACCCATTTTTTTTAAATAATAAGTAATTTTCTCATTGGACTGCTCAAACCAGAGGAAAAAAAAGCATAAATATGGAAAAATAAACCACGTTATTGCTACTTAAACCTTCCACCATTGGTCTCAATCCTCAATCAAATTGGAGCCACAGTAAATGACACTAAATTCTATTTATATTGGAAAGCAGAAGAACGATTAGTTGTATAATTGTATATTTATTTGTACATACATAATATGTACATTCTCATAGCTATATTCTCATACACGTAATAAATCTCACTACTGTTATAACTACAAAAGTTTTATGTGTGTGTATATTTGTTTGTCACGCTGAAATGGCTAAACAAATTTGAATGAAATTTAGTACACAAATTTTTAAAAATTTTTGCGAACAGGTCACGTCACTCGTAAATAATGTTATGATATAAAAGGTACAGTCTTATAATAGAAAGTACATAATGGATTCTTTTCTTCAACAGCGCAGTCATGTATGGATGTGAAGCAGATACTTTTCAACGGCTACTGCTACCTCTTCTCTGGCTACCCCCAAGCATCATGGACCACAGCTAAACAGGTGAGCTACTCATCGAAAGCTAAATTTCAATACGTATACTCATGATGATGATGATGTTCTCCTAGCCGATTCCGGCCACGGCGGCCAATCTCAATGAGATTAGCCAACTGCGCAGGAGATATTATAGTGCTCAAGTGTACGCGCAGACACAAGTGCACTCTCTATTCCTATCACTCTCATACTCCGGTGGGACGACCACTCGACACGACCGGTGAGAGTTAAGGCGCAGGACCGACGGCTTTACGTGCTCTCCGAGGCACGGGGGTGAAACACCGCCAACTTCCCAACTCCGGGCTGTTACTGAGACTTACTATACAGGAAGACTCAATAACTAAACTTGGCCCGACCCGGGACTCGAACCCAGGACCTCCGGGTGTGCAGCTGTACATGCTAGCCACTACACCACCGAGGCAGTCAAACGTTTACTCATATAATTTATACAAGAAGATAACTTTTAGACAAAATGTCTTATAACGGTTTATCTATTTTAAACTACCTTTACTGACAGTCGTCGTCCTGTCCAAATTTCATTTTTATTTGTAAACCTTACGTTGGTGTAAATATTCTATAGACTATTTTCCAGAAATTTCCTATTTTCTGGGCAATTTTTCCTTCTTTTTCAACAAAATATCTAAAAATATATATAATGTTCAGTACCTATTTGAATTAAATACCTCCAGTATCTAAATTCAGGGTAATTTGCACTAATATTATAATGAGCCACTAATTAATTAATTATAATATTAATGTTACCGTCACTAAAATACCTATTTATTGAAAAAATAATCATAAAATATTTTAATATTTCGTCAATCAAATTGATAAGAACCCATAATTTTTGTGCGATTAGAAGTACGAAAACGCAAAAATCATCAAACTCAGTCAAGCTGTGGAGGAGAGTAAGATTACGAAGTAACGTACACCGAAATTGTATATATAAACATGAGTAAAAGCACGACTAATTACGCTATACAATAAATAACACTTTTTTCTCCCGAAAACTTATAAGTTGTATAAAAATTGTTTTGATTTTCTAAAACTAAAATGTATATAATTAAAAATTTTAAAACCCCCCAACACAATAACCTATTCATTGAAGCAATTTCTATGAGTCTAAACACGATACCTCTATAGTATTGTAGCGAGGAGTTGAGTATCTTGCAGATTCCAGTAACGCTGCAGCATCAGGCTAAAATTACCATATCGGTGCAAACTCGGTGATAGCCTGCAAACAACTGACCGGATTTTCTTGATTTATAGCTAAGAACATTCTCGATTAAATTACCTTTCAAACAAAACAAACTAAATTGAAATCGGTTCAGCCGTTTGGGCGCAAGATGTCACAGACAGGTACACAAATACACACGTTAAACTTTTATCACGCCCCTGTTTCTGTCGGGGTTAAAATATGTCAGCTTGTGATAATATCCGCTAGAGATTCAGTGAAAAGTCACAAAAACAAATAGAATATGTAACGAGCTAATACTGATGGCGCTTTTGTCATTGTGTTGAAAGCTTAATTCTCAATGATCGACTTCAAAATGGTATTTGTGTCCTTTTTAGGTCTTACTCCATTTTGAAGTAATTTTAATTATTTTTTTTCAATAATAGGGCACATAGCTAATCTCAAATGGTATACATATTTACATTTCAAGAGCGAATAATTACTATGATAGTGTTGTACATATATTGAATAAAATAAAATAGATAAAAAAACAAATAAACAAATAAAACAAATATGTTGGGACATTAACAAACATCACCATCTAGTTTCATGGTTAGCTACGAGGCTTGTGTTATGGGTACCAGATAGTTGATACAATATACATATATAACTTTACATACATACATATTATAAATACAAACACCCATGACTGGAGTACAAACATTTGTGCTTATCACACAAATGAATGCCCCCAGCGGGACTCTAACCCGCGACTGCTGGCACAGCAAGTAGGGTCACTACAAACTGAGCCAAACGTGTCGTCAAAAATAAAATTTGTAACAACATTTTTATAATTTGTTTTACATGTCTAATGACAAAAATAGATATTTACTATATGTATAGATACTCTGTTATTTAATCTGCAATTAATAAAACTTTCTTATTATTACTATATATAATAAATACCATTATATACATTATATACATACATATATACCTAAGTGGGTATACTTTTTTACAGTAAATTTTTATAGTCAGGCTGTAATTTGCAGTTCCACATCTTCTGCTACGGTACATAAACTGCATCGTACTTAAGTTTACTAAAGTAATAAATCTTAAGCTTAGAACTTTCAGCTAACGCACAATGTTTAAAATTATGTATATAGTTCGTCTAACTAATGTATTACCCAACTATCCCGGAGGAGGGTAATGATTTGATTGTACATTTTGTATTTTTATATGAATTGTTTTGTTGTCGTTTAACTTGTTATTTCATATAATGCATAACTATGATGTTTATAATAAATATATATATATATATATATATTTTAAGTGAAAATATTATACTATAACACTTCAGCTTCATTTTCAGTTCTATAATATATTAGCGACTTATCTGACTTCCCTTGGGTACTTCCATATACCCGAACGTTTTAAGAGACAAACGTCCAAAGATATTTTTTTACACCAGAGACCTTCCAAGGCATCTGGTCTTGGTCATCTGAACGCGGACTCAAAATAAATCCGCGAAATAATCCGAAAAGATAGTTTTATTTAAAATGTCAAATATTCGCGTAAATCTAAGAAAGTAGAATTTTATTATATGTATAGATGATTTAAACTTAGCAAATTGTAATTCTATACAATTTAAATGTCTCAAACAACCTGTTATGCAGCTTCTCGACGAAATCGCATCAAAAGATTCTGTTCCAAGATGCAAATGATGAACAAGATGACTCTATCTCAGTAACGTATTGTACGCGGCTCTCTTTATTCAGTTAAAACGACATACTTGAATATCTTTTGTATAAGAAATGCTTTTGGATTCCTTTGAATAAATCGTCATGATTTTTACTAAAGGAACTGTGGAACCAAGAAATTTTAATTAATGAGCCTAATTAGTTGGAAGCGTCTATTGCCCAATTTCACCAACAATCCATAAGCCACCACCTACGTATGGGATCCCTAGCTTAAAAGTCCCCTAAACTAGCCCCTAAATTAAATTTCGTTTTACGATCGTCTTTAAGCCCATATTTCGAGCACCTAAATTTAGGGGGCCTTTTAATATTTAGGTGACCACTAACTGTCGGTGAAACAGAAACTGTCCCCTAACAGCCCCCTAACCATGCTTAGGGGATCCCTTAAACTTAGGTAACGTTGGTGAAATCGGGCATATATAGTGAGGTAGAACATAAGTGTAGCCCTATAACTAGGTTACTTACTAATATTATAATTATGAAAATACGTCTGTTTACTTCTCTTCAGAAATATATGGGATATACACAATGTGCTTTTTTCCATTGAGACACTTAGGGAGCTGTAGAGTAACAGAAGAAACCACACTTACTTCTATACTCTACTAGTTTTTGCCCACAGCTTCTCACGTGCGTTAACAGGGGCAGAGATCAAAGTTAACTTATATCCGACCCCATACCTAAGTCATCCTTGCCAGACTTATCGAAATCTGTAGTGTTAAATCTAATTTAATGGTGGCTCGTGAATTGGTGGGTTGAGATTCAAGATTTATATAATTAGGTACCATACATTTTTATATACATATTAAAACAAACAATAAATATAAGGTTTTTTTTATGTAAAACAAATACTATACATATTCTTGTCTCATGCTATATTAATACGAGAAGTGACGATCGCTATACTGACGATAAAATAACTCACTTCGAGTTATCTTTTGTACATAAAATGCCTTTGGGGGTTTCCTTTGAACAGAGTTTGAAAGCGAGATCCCGGTAAATCTTTATTGAAACTATTAAATAACCATGAGTGATAGTCACATCAAAAGAATTTATATTTTAAAAATAACGTTTCGGCATTATTGTATCTGCTGTACAGAAGGTCGCGGATTTGATTACAGTTAAAGGTAAAAAAATATCCTTCTTCTCTTGTTTTTAGAGTACCTAATAATGTAGACAGGCAGTGGTAGCCCAGTGGAGATGCGCTTGCTTGGGAAACCGAGTGACGCGAGTTCAAATCCCGGATCTCGCACTTCCAATATTTTCATCGGTGAACCATTTCCTATATCATTCTCACTTGTCTTACAATGAAGGAAAATATCGTGATGAAACCTGCATGTCTGAGAGAACCTAGCAAGTTTTCAAAAGACGTGTGAAGTCCGCCAACTCGCACTTGGCCAGCGTGGTGGAGTATGGCCTGATCCCCTTTGTATTGAAGGGAGGCCCGTGCCCAGCAGTGGGACGTAAAAAATGGGCTGAATAAAATTATATAGTACCTGGGTGACCAAACTTTGCTTGGCGTTTTTCGGTAAAGATATGAAAATTGCGTTATTACAGAAAAGACACCTATATAGATATACTTAAAAAGCAAAACTTATTCTAAATACAAAATATTTTTTATATATCCAAAAAATATCTCATTTAATAATAATTATAAGATAGTAAAAGTTTTATCTATTCTGGCTATTGAACTTGCCTCTCTGACTTATTTTCCACTTAATTTACAACTTAATGGTTCAATTAGTATCAATATGAAAGAGCAATCCCACCCCTTGCCAACCGAACTCGAATGTTTTGACCACCCCCGTAGGTGTATACTTTACCTATGTAGGCGTTAGGGGTTTAGCACCAAAATTTAAAGCAGCAATCGGCATGACGTGAGTACATAATACAATTGCAAGTAACAAAATACCGTCTTTTAAATATAAATTTCATTCTTCGAACTCTTCGTCATATAGGAAAGAGGAAGTTAATATTTGTGACTAAAATTCCTTAAAGAACCTTCCCATCTTTGAATTTGGTCAAGATTTCAAATAGATTTTGTATTTTTACAATAATCACTGACATTACTATATTTATACCTAAGATGGTAAAAAAAACATTATTTTAACTACAACTAGGTATGTACATGTAAGAAAATCAAAAAAGCTTCGTTCTCAACTTCTTCTCACATGGTTTTGTAAGACACATAGTTTAGCATGGATCCTGGGATCAGACACAAGCCCCTAGAACTCCGACCCGCTTATCAGGCAAGAGAATCCGCAGACAAAAACTAGTATCGGCATTTTTTTTTAATTAATACCTAGAGAAAGATTTTTATATTATATAGACATTAATTACAATATAAATAGTTCCCTTGATCTTTCTACTGTAAAAAGTGAATTAGAAATCTAGGCAAAGCAACGATAAGTAACTAGTGTTAAAATGAAAAAGTATAAAGAGGAAGTATTAAAAACTAGATTAAATATTATAACAAAATTCTCAAATGCAACGACGTAATATTACAGTATATTTGACATAACGATGGAAGTGTGGAGAAAATTCAAAAGTATTTCCAATGTAAATGTAAAACGCTGGCATATACTCGTAGCAAAGTGATACTGTATTTATGACTCAACTGTCTTTTGTACGACACTTCTGATATTCATTGAAAATACGATATTTGAGCTTCATATTTTATACAATACAATTCTATTCTTCATTTTTAATATCTATTTATGTATATTGTACATAAATATATGTAAAAGTAATATTGGAGTGTCTTTTTATTACTTTGATACTTTGAAGTGTGAGTTCTTTGTAGCTTAAATCAACTTATATTAGCTACTGCTTGTGGCTTCACTTTCATCTATATTTTTGACGACACGTTTGGCTCAGTTGGTAGTGACCCTACTTGATGTGCCAGCGGTCGCGGGTTCGAGTCCCGCTGGGGGCATTCATTTGTGTGATGAGCACGAATGTTTGTACTCCAGTCATGGGTGTTTATATTTATAATATGTATGTATTTAAAAGTTATATATATGTAGTGTATCAACTATCTGGTGTCCATAACACAAGCCTCGTAGCTTACTATGGAACTAGATGGCGCTGTGTGTTAATGTCCCAACATTTATTTATTTATTATAGATTTACCCGCTTCGTTCGAGGTGCCTTTTTGTATTTATAATCTTGTTTACAAGTAGCGCCAACATTTGGCAAAATTAACCAACAGTAGCTTATATATGTTTCTCCAGGTTATAATCTATCTGTGTACTATATTTTATCCAAATTCATCCAGCTATTTCAGGGTAAAGTAGTAACAAACATACACACATACAAACATTAGCATTTTCAAATAATAACAGCGTGAGTACTTTATGATGTCTTTCTTATAAAAGTGACAATAAGTTTTATCATAAATATAAACAAATTCTTGATTTGTTTAGCTATATTCAAGTTACATGTTATAAAACAGACATAATTCAACATCTGTCAAATTCAGAATACTTAACATATTTTTTAGATATGGTATTTCCAAACATTTTGTTCGTTGCTTTTAGCGATAACGCTTGTGAAATGTGCCTTATCTAAGCCTCATCAATTTGAACGCTATTGAAATTCTTTTGTCAGAGCCTTTCTCAATAGGTTATAAAATGTAAGAAGATTTTATCAAATCCGACTCGATTCCAGAGATTACCATATGCCAACAAACAAAGAGAGTGGAGCCGCGGACAAAAAGCAAGTTTTAGCTTTCTACTATCCTTCTCTATATTAATTTTAACGACATCATCACTCATACTCCACCGTTTTTTAAAGGGGTGTAAAATTTTCTCGTCACGTATAAATAGATAGACTATTAAAGTTTATACTTAATAATGTTTCCAGGTTTGCGAAGGTCTAAACATGCATCTATCATCCGTCCACACTCCTGAAGAAGAACGCTTCCTAGTAACTGGCATTAGGCAAAGCAGCGATTATAGCGCTGGATCGATATACTGGTTGGGTGGTCATCTGGACGATAGCGCTGAACTCAGCTGGATTGATGGGACCACCTTAGATTACCACGCCTGGCCACCATATAATGATACTGAGGAAGTTGATGGAACATGCTTAGGTGTACAAGTAAGAATACTTGTTTTAATATTTTATTAAATGTAGGTATGTTTGTTTATTTTTCTTTCACGCAGCAATGAAATGATGAGTAGATCTTCTTTAGACTTACAGGTTATTAGCAGAACCCGCGGCTTCACTCACGCTGAAACTATCTAAAAAGGTAGTTTCATACAAACTTTCGAAAAATGCTACAACACGTATTTAATTAATTGTATTGAAGAGCATTAATACCAAGTTTCAAGTAATTCTGATCATAAATATTTTTTTGGATTGTATTATAACGTCTTTTGCCGTGGTAAGTAGCCTATGTTACTGTCCAGCCTCCCAACTATCTCCACACAAAAAATCACACTAATCCGCCAAGCCGTTTCGACGTGAAAGAAAGACAAACAAACAAACAAACAAACAAACAAACAAACAAACAAACAAACAAACAAACAAACAAACAAACAAACAAACACACTTTCACATTTATAATATTAAGTATGGATTTTCATCCTACAGGATATAAGTAGCCTCAAGGAATATGGAAAAAGGACGATTTAACGGGTTGTAGTTGGGACCTAAGATAGCAATTAGCAATATTTATGTTTATATTGTTTTAAGTAATCACCATTATTACTTGTACTAAAATATTTATTACGATAAAATACATACGTACTCAACTTTTACAATCGATTTATTTAACGTTTACAATGAATTTCATTCAAATCAAAATAACAATGAAAGCCAATTTATAATCAAATACATGTTTAAAATTATACTAAATTAATGACTCGTTTCACAGTGGAAAACCTCCCCAGTCCCATCTCAACCGAGCGGTCTTTACTGGACGATGCACAAGTGCTCAGTCACTGGGGGCTACGTGTGTAAACGACGGCTTGCTTCGGAACACGTTCTTAGAAACACAACTGTTGAAGGAAATTCTGGTAATAAAACGTTTAGTTAAGACTGAAATTAAGATAAAAACGAGTAAACAATTGTTCTGATATATTTATCTTATCAAGGCTAAAATGAAAAAATATTTTTTTATAAAACTTTACGCTCCATTAGTGACACCTTGAAATATTTAAAAAGTAATGGCGGAAGCTAAACACGTCCTGAAAATTTTGTGGTACAGAAACCATTAACTCTTTTTAAACGAATCCGGAATTCGAAACCCAGAACTTTCATACTAGAGATAACAGGTTTGAGGTAGAGTTGGTAAGTTAGCGGTGTTTCTATACCGTGCCTAGGAAAGTACGTAAAGTCATCGGTTCTGCACCTGATCTCTCACCGGTCGTATCGAAGTATCATTCCATCGCACTTTGAGCGTGACAGGAATAGAGAGTGCACGTTGTGTCTGCGCGTACACTTGTGCACTATAATATCTTCTGCGTATCTGACTCGTCTCACTGAAATTAGCCGCCCAAGCCGAAATCGGTCAAGAGGACATTATAATAGCATACCCACTGTTGTTTTTAAAACACAAAAATATTTTCTATTTATTTATTTGTGGGTTTTTTTTCAGGAATATTAAAGAGTCCAAATTATCCAGGTATCTATGACAACGATCTGGACTATTGGGTCCATGTAAAGGGTCCACCGTACACTCGCCTCGTATTTGTCTTTCAAACGATTGATTTGGAATACCAAAATGACTGCCTCTATGATTTTATTGAGGTAAGCAAAAGTTTGAGTTTTTGTTTATATGAAATATTTGCTGGTTCTTCTCACCAGAACTACATCTCGAGCATGACTTGTTAGTTATACACTCGTATAACGATCTTGACTTATTGAATATCTGTTAACGAATATTGAAAATTATTTTAGTTACGGGATCGTAAAACAAGTTCAAAATCATCAAGATATTGTGGATCAGTGGGAGAAACCAGATGGGTGGCGACCGGTGACGAGGCTATATTACATTTTCATTCTGATTACAAGTATGTATTAAAAAAGCATTCTTATTGCCTTCCTCTTGTATAGCTACAAAATATGATAGGGAAGTATTCATTCGAATTGAATGAAAAAGTCGGATTGCTTTGTAGAATTTAAGAATATAAGTATTTAAGGAGTAATAAAAGTATATTTATCATCCTACAGGGATAATGGATTCGGCCATTGAAATATACCTTAATGAAAAAAATTACTTTATTCTTTATTCCCCAGTGCCCAAGGTTCGGGGTTTTTAGTGAATTGGAGAGCAGTGGAACTGTCCGGATGTCCGTCGCAAACGTTCACGTCGAAGGAAGGTGCGCTACACAGTCCAAACTACCCGTACTTCCTTCTGCCGGACTTGGATTGTACTATTGATATTTTTGCGCCGACAGGTAAAGATTATTCTAAAAAATAACTACTTTACAATATAATAATAGAATTGTTTTTCGGATTTTTTCACAGTTTTAAATATTAAAATATACATTTATTTTGTAATATAATGTTTATTTATATTTCTTTAGCCATTTTACTAACATGTTCTAAAATTACCTCTTAAAATTAAGCCTATTATTCTTCACGTAAAGTAAAAAATTACATTTTAATAGGAAAGCGAGTGTTCCTAAACATCAGTTTCTTCGACTTTGGCTACGGAATATTCCAAAATGGCGTCCCCATCAACATGACGGAGCCGATACCTGAAGATAATTACTTAGAAGTACAAGTAGATACGGAAAGTGAACCTATTCGACCATTTTTAAGTTCAAAAGTTTTAACAAACAGCCTTTTTGTGTCCAAATCTGAGGTTATGAGACTGAGACTCAAAACCGGCGAGAATGTTACAGGCTTGGGATTTTCTGCGCATTTTAAAACTGGTGAGTAGGCTTCAAATTCCAGCACTAAATTTTCCATTCCGAACTTACTTTTATTATATAGTATTATAATACCAAATTGTATGAAAATATTGTACAAATTATAGTTAAATAGTGTAAATGAAATACCTATATTTAGTTAAAACCTTCCACAACTGTTCAAGGTTCACGAAAGTGCATTGATATATAATTAACATCGAAATCTACATTTTTTTTGGTAAAAAAATATACATTTACCTATATTTATTGTAACAATTAATTTCATATGTCGACATAAGACGAAAATAGAGTTCAAATTAAACCAAAAAAAAGACAACATAAGCAAAAGTCAGTTAAAACTTAAATTTTGTCCTGTTGATGGCATTTAACGTAATAGTACTAGTATAGTTTTATATGATCTGTGGTAATAGTATAACTCAATTTACCACTAAGATGAAAAAGGCAAAATTATAATAACATTTTTCTAGTATGGCATGTGAACATATCACATACAATTGAACTGAACGCTGCGGTACGTGGGAAGCTCACGGCAGCCAACTGGCCCGGCGCCGCGCCGCTGCACGCCGCACTCGTCACCAGGATAATCGCCCCGCACGGACACACGCTGTCTGCCGCCTTCGAGCACACTATACTTGTGCCCAATCAGGAGTATCCGTGTGGAGAGGGGAATGGGTGGATAGAGGTATACTAATGGAGATTATTATCTATACTTAATATTGTCAAAAGAAAAAAATGTGTTTTTGTTTCTAATACATAAACTAAAAATTCGCTGAATCGATTTAGATGGAATTTAGTATGGATATAGTTTGAGACTTTGGGGAGGACTAGGATAGTTTTTATTCCGGAAATCATCCCTTAAGGGCCTGAAAGTTTATATGGGGAATTATTTCTCAAAAAGGATATAAAACTCTTCATACCTATGTATATGTACATAATATATACTATAATACTAATACACAGTATATCGATTCCATTTCCTAACCGTTGACACGTACCTAGGGATGAACCCGAGCAAAGCGAGGGTGACCGCTAGTATATGAATGTGGATTACAATAAGCATTGTTTACCAGAATACCTAGCGTTTCTCTCACCTGTCTAGAAAAATGAGTTATCTGTTCATTTGATATAATTAAGACCTAATCTTAATTAAACAATTGGAAAATGGAAATCGGAGGATATTTTTTTTTAAATATCTTATAATTATTTATATTAATTATCCAATTGGAATTATCTTTCATTTATGACAGTGCCGATCATTAAAAAGTTATGTTCCAGGTAAGAGACAGTTATACGGATAACAACGGCACCCTGTGGACACTGTGCGACATATCAGAGGATGGTGGAGGGAATTTGGAGGAAGTTGATGGTACTAGTGGTGGTAGTGGTGGTGGTGGTGGTGGTGTTGGGGGTGTTAGGGCTCCTCTCGTTGTGCGCTCATATCTACACTCGTTGTTGGTGACGCAGCGAGCTGCTGAGCGTGCCCCACGACTTGACGTTGCGCTCGCGGTCAATGTAGGCAAGTACCTATTAAGCTCATCCTATTTTGTTTTACGATTGTTTTAAGCATTCCAGATGCAACAGTAATATAAGGAAATAATATAAGAAACCTCTCAGCCTATTTATCTGTGAAATGGATTGGTCCATAAAAATATGAATCTATTACCGTTAAAACATGTTAGTATTCTATTTATTTCATAAAATGTATGATTCTATTATATTTTTAATTATTAATAATAAATAGTACCTATTACGTATTATAATTATTATAGAAACAAAAAACTTAAAAAACTCGTGAATACGAATCATATGAGCCCAAATTCGTCGTAGGCACTGAAGAGTTCCACTATTCACCTTCTGTCTTCATCATCAGATCATCTCCAAGATACCAAATTATAGTACTGTCATCCGAACTACATATGTATATATACGAGGTTTTATTTCAATACGACAATTACAAGTAGGTTAAAATTGGCTTCTTAAGATTTTATTATATTGTTTGATAGTTACTTACGAGTACAAGAGAGGCTAATAAACCGTGTTAATAATAAGTAAGATTATCTTATGAGGAATTCTCGATAACAATTTTGTTATATTTTATATGATTTTCCATATTCCAGATGCGGATTACCGCAGCAAAGTATTGCTTCTTTCCGATGAGACTAATTTAGAGTCGTGTTACCCGGACCCCTGTCTCCATGGAGGGAGATGCACTACTGATGATTCCAGAAACTTCTGTCAGTGCACTGGATATTACACGGGTGAGAATTTTTTTTGTATTAAAATATATATGTATGTACCTAATTTGGATATACATTTTTTTGTGTCTTGTTCTTTTGTTATTTATACTTCAAGTATATTATTATTAGGTTTTTTTCGTGTAATTTATAATTACAGCACTTATATTTATTAAAAGAAGAATTCCAATCCTACGGATAAAATAATTTTTAATTAAAAATTATCAATTATTTCTATGATGGTGAAAAACTTTACTATGAAAGTGTTACCAGAATATCGTAGTTCGTTTTTTTTAATATAACAATACATAAACCAGCAAATGTAAATTACTTATGTTCGATTTACGATATTTAGATTTCTGAACTCGATATTCCTGTATCCTAACACTTTATTCTGAACTGTCGCAAGTTTCTTTGCGCAATTTAAATCCGCTTAGAAGTTTCAGGGCTAAACTTCTACCAGGTGGCTAGTCACAAACCAAATCACCTCATTAAATCGGTTAAGTTAGAATAACTTACGAATAATTCTGATGATATGAAATATTTATGTACATATATGACCTATTTCATCTATTTTTATTTATTTCTTTATTCTTGATTGCACACACAGTAAAAAAGACAACAAACTCATATTTATCAAGAAAATAAAAGATATGCCACGGCGGTCTAAATGCTTAAAGCAATTTCTACCAAGCAACCTTTGGTGAAAAGATTTATTAAGACGTAAACGGGCTATTAAACTAAATACCTATAAGTAAAGAATGACAAAAAATATATACATATATCAAATAGATAAATATACATTTTATTTTTTTATTTGTCCATGTGGATAACAGAAACCAACTGTTATTTAACCTGTCTTTTATAAGACTTCTTCAAAAATCAAGCTTATTATTAAATGTCACGAGTGGCACATTTATCATATAAAGTATATGATAAATGTGCCACTCTGACACTTAATTGTAACTATGGTAGCAATATCTACGATGCACAGTCATCTGTATCGTCTATTAGAACAGCATCTGTAATACCAGTCTCAACCTTTAAATTGCAAATTAACTTTTCAACTAACACTTCAGGAGCATTCTGCTTGCTGACTGCTTGCGAGCGCTCTCCCTGTGTGTTCGGCAACTGTTCCCTGGGCGGTAGCGAGGGTGCAGGGGGTGGGGCAGGATACACATGCGCATGCGCTCGTGGATGGCGAGGCCGTCGATGTGCAGAGCGAGTGCGTCCTTGTGCTTCCCGACCATGTAACAATCGAGGCGCTTGTGTTGAAAGAGATGGCGGCTTTTTATGTCAATGCAATCCGTCGTGGAAAGGGAAAAGGTTTGATTTACCTTTGATTTTTTTTATATGAATAGATGGAGAAATATTGCTATTTTTGTACAATTTTATGCAAAGCACGACACATTCGTGAGAGAGGCATCTATCAACATTATTTTGATTAAAGCATTACACTAGCTTTCTCTGTGTCAGTAACACTATATTTGGCAAGTTAAATAAAAATTATAATTTATAAAAGAATATAATTATTTACAATATATGTTATCAATTTCAGATGTGAAACCCCAAATCCAACTCCCAACATCGTAGGGTTAGGGACGCGTATGATGCAGGAGCCATTTTGGCTTGGTCTATTCGCAGTGTTTGTAGTGTTGGGAATGATTGGGTTGGTGTGGTGCGCAAAAAGGCATTTTCCAGAGAAAATCGAGAAACTACTCGCCGAAGAAGCGGACCGATGTGCCAGACGTAAGTCCACATTCAATGTATTCCAAAACTTGGAGGGCAAATCTTTAGGCTTGAAATGAACACGGAAAGAAATTAGAAATTCCGATTACAATATTAAAGCACACTTACAGCTTTTTCACTTAAAACACGATGGATTGTTCTCGATTTATCATCACCGTTCTCGTACATCGCTTTGAGATAATTTCCGCACTGTCTAGGGTAAGACATGTCTTGTTGTTACTTCTTGTCTTATTTCTTTCTATGTTATTTGTCGTTGGCAGAAACTCTCATAACATCAAACTAATCTGTATTAAAGGAATACTTATTTGGGTGATATATTTATTATAATTTTCATGTTGCTTTAGAAATGTCTAATTTTGTTAATTTAATAATTTTACTATTCTTAACTATACTGTGCTTAAAATATACAAATTCAACTTGACTTTCGTTTAAGGAGTTTCTGGCAGTCGCAATGTACACAATTATTTTAGCTTGCCTTTTAAGATAGTATATGTAATTACATATAATAATATATAAAATGTTGTGCTTTAATGGAAAATTATATAATCAAAGATAATAAAATATAAATAAATAAAAATATATTATTAGTATATATAGCATTGTTCATTGGGTGTTTGTAGAATTCATCAGATTTTCAATATATATGATTTTTTGTTTAGTTCCATAAATAATACAACTCAAGATAAAACAATTGTGTGAATTAGCTTTAACATGGCTTGTTTAAAGGCCGGGATATAGGTCATATATGTATGTCTTTTGCTCGAAGAATTCTCTCATGTTTTTTATTCATAATTTCCCTTTTAATGAAATGTTTCTTATGTATTTATGACTTGATAGAGACTAATATGAATCTAACTTTTCTTCATGAATGAATAAAATTTCCTATCGTGAGAAACCAGAATTTGCGGACGTTTGTTATACATTTTATTTTAATTTTCGCAATGCAAATAAATAAATAGCTTAGTGACTAAAACTTGTTATCAAATAAATATAGTTCCGTGATATATACATACATACTCGTATATCAATATCCACATCTCGTGGAAATAAATTTGAATTACAATATTCCAGCTTCTCACGATAAGAACTGTAGATGGAAACACTATAATATTGTTTGATGATTTAGATCACTTAAAGTGATAAACATTCGCATTAGCGATAAACAGCGCATTAATCCGACATATCCCGGCTTGATGTGTATACTAGCGCTGCCCGTGGGGGGCGGTCGGCAGCGGGGGCGAAGGCCTAGGTACACGGCCGTGCCGGTAGCGGAGCCCCACGGCACTCACGTCGCGTTTGTCCACAGCGAGGCCGGAGCACCGCACGCTGCTCACGCGCCTGGGTATCCGAAAGGCGTCGGTGACGGGGGCCGCCCAACCGCGGACCGCACGCACCTTTAGTTTGGACGATCTCTTAAAGCCAACCGGACGTAAGGAGTGGAGCGCTAGAACCCGTGCACTCCGCGATCAAATTCATTCGATTTATCATTTTTGTTCAGTTAAAGCTTTTTTGTTTTTGTTTTATCTTAACTGAAGAGAAATGCAAGGTTATCTCAAGCAAAATTTCAAGCTTTTTGATGTGATGTTAATTTTTTGGTTTGCGATTGCTTTATTATGTCAATTTGATATTTTATATTATGTATGCGTGCATTTCTTCATGAATATTTAACTTACTGTTCTCTATTTACTATATTATATGTAATATGTATGTATACATTTGAATATATTTTTATATATTGAATAGTACGAGATATTTTTCTAGATTGAGTCCTTATTAATATATGTAATATGTATCTAATATATATAGTTTTTACTTTAGTGCAGTTTTTTCCATTGTTCTTCCTTCACTGCAATTAGAATCTGAAAATTTAAACAGTCTTGTAATTACCAAAATCTCTTGTCATTCATCAATATTATAATTTGATCATCAATCAATAAATCAGTCACTTTCAACATCACATCAATCATTGATTAATTATCATTGATCATCATTGATCAACCGCAGCGGAGCGCGCGGCGTATCTCAGCTAATTGTTGGATGTACGCTATCTGAATGACTTGGTGTGGAATGCTCTCCCTAACGATACCGATACATCGATGTATGCACCCTTAATAATGCATTGACACCTAAAGCTCTTGTGTAGACGCTCCTTCCTTCCTTCGTTAGCACCTTTTTAGATCGTCCAAATTTCTTTACCAAGTTTTTTATCATCAATACTCTTTTCTCTATCAAATACTTTGTATATTTTCTGAATATACGGTATAATATATTGATGATATAAAACTTGAGTTTTTAACAGAACTGAATGTTGCTTAAGCATGCTCCGGACATTGTTCTGTGCTAATTCTGTTCTCGATGTGTTTCTTTCTATTATTTTCGTAATTGTTGTATACATACTATTCGTTCAATGTTTTACGTGGTGCCAGTATAGTTATTGATATTATTCATGTCACATAACTGTGTCCTATAAGATTGTATAGCTATTTTTCTTGATCTTCTGTAAGTTTTGAGCACCTTTTCTATTAAAATTTAATATTTTTGCATGAAAGATCACAATAACTATACAATTACTAAATCATTTCCATTTGTAACTAAATTCACCGACAAAACTAAACATCTAACAAAATTTAAAAAGAAAAATTGGCACGATGTTGTACTCTCTTAAATTTAATAGCACTGACCCTAAAGAATTGGCTTCCATTAGATGCACTTACTCCTTGGTAATATTATCTAATATTTAAAGGCATGATAGTTTAACAAGCCTTAAAAAATTACTCTTTTTTTTCTAAAGTTTCTGATAATTCATTCAATATTGTATAGTAAAAGTCATTACATTAATGTTGTAGATTCGTAGCAGCTTTGACTCCCAGAGTATATATGACATTTGTAGTATTTCGCGCAGGGTCTCCGTCGCCTCGTAAAAAACGTAATAATTCAACGCCAACCAAGAAGAATGCTGCAGAAAAAAAACAAATCCTACAACAACTTATAAGCCCGGCTCCAGCTAACGAGCATTCTAAGAAAATAACCATGGGTGAACTGATACAGATGTCGGAGAAAAGAACATTAAGTACTGTAGAAAGTGCACCTGCCTTTGTAGAATACGGTGTAGATAATAAAGATACATCATTCGCTAGTGAAGGCTCATCGCCATCAACTTCTCCATCGATGAGGCAAATATCCGATCCGAAACTGGAAAAAAAAGTTACATTTGCCCGATTACTTAATAAAGTTTCTGCAGAGATGAGTTCTAGTTCTGATGTAGATATGGTAAATACAATAGCGATACCAATGGCAGTAATAGCTAATAGAACGATCAAAGCCAAAGCCTCAAGTACTCCGCCTTCACCCGGCGTTGAAGTCAGATCTCCTCATAGTACTTCCAGCAATCAAGGTAGTGATTCAATGTCTAGTCTCGATTTGACGCTAGCGAACGCAACTTTAAAAAAGTATTCTAGGTAAGTCTAAATCGGTATTTTTTCGTTTCGGTAATTTTATAAAATTATTTGTCTTATTCTTTTGGACTAAAAGTATTACGAAAGGTTAAATATTGCGATAGTTATTTAAGTATGGTATATTTGTAGTCAATAATGACAATTGTAAAGCAAATGATGAACATTTTGCACGAAAACTTTGTAAAACCTGTGTTTTTATACTTCTTATTCATATTTTAGAACACCGAAAATTTCAAGTGCTGATTCAATATTAGCGATGTTTCGGAATTTCTCATCATCGGCTCTTACAAGAGGATCATCAGGCGGTATCTCCGCTTCCAGCACTCCTACAGCCTCGTCACCGCAAGACGATACCGCAGATGCGGATGACTTGTCCCTCGCGTCTACTTATATCCCCTCTCTTGCACCGGACTCGCCGATTAGACCAAACAATACTATAGAAATTCAGGTGTGTGTTTACTAGTACTACTAGTGTTCGCCTAGTGGACGATTTTCGGCCATGATCATTATTGAAAATTTGAGGAAAACTTATATAAATAGAATTTACCTACGTATACAAAAAAAACTGTTTTCAATTATTATTTTTATTGATAATATTAAAGCTAATCAAGCTACTAAACAAAAAAAAATCGGTGGCAGAAGAGAAAAAGATGCGGAACTGTCTTATCTTTTTATATATAGATTTTAAATTGTCTGTTACTAATTTTCACATTAACCGGTATTATCTTCTCATGTCTAATTTTATTAACAGAGTAATTTTATTACTTGCAGGTTGTAGACCCTCTTAGTTCACATAAACCTTCTCCATCAGGTAACCTGCTTCATCCACCCTCAATACTTCTCGAAGTACCGAGTAGTATTAATAAATGTCTCTCCCCTATCCGCGAGTTGCCCACTCCACTACCTACTCCGCTACCAACTCCCTTGCCAACTCCCTTACCAACTCCATTACCGTCACCAAGGATGCCTCGAGCCAAAATAGAATCAGATATGAAAAGTGACTCGACTGGTACGTGTATATCGCCTAGTGAGGACGAACTGGATGAAAAAGATCGACCAACAATAGGGCTTAGGTTAAAGGTAGGTATTGAAATACATTTAACTATATTCAATACTCGATATAGACAAGCGGACAGAATTAATAAGATATATTTTTTTTAATTAATTATCTTTTAAACTTTTGCAGTTACGTCAGCCAGTATTAAGCACAGATACACCAACACCGTCCACGCAAGTGACTGACTCTCCAAGCCCTAGTTTCACCCACAGCCAGGATTCTGAAAGAGAGCTGTCTTCACCTTCTCCAGCCCCACCCTCTCTTAGAGTTCCAGTTTTAACCATAGAACGACCGTCTCCAGGATCTCCTCCTCCTCGACGAACACCTCCCCACTTAGACTACCAACCTCCCCCTCTAATAACAGTAACGTATAATGCAAGCGAAGAATCAGATGAGCCAATGTCACCTCGACCTCCCCCACCCACTGCTAATATGTGTTACTTAAGTCCATTTTCAATGTCTGCGAGAGGCGAAAGAGCCCCATCAGAATCCAATCTGTCATCATCTGGATATAGTTCGATGGCTAGTCCCGGTCCATCTAGATGCGGATCAAGCAATCCTCTATGTCCTTCTGAAATGGAGGATCCAGGGTCTGGTGGTGGACCGTCTTGTTTTCAAACCAGAAGGAGGCCTCTAATGAAAACCAACTCTAGTCCAGCAACATCTAATGACAATGCGAATGAAAGAAGACGAGGTCGATCCGATTCAGAAACTTTATCTGATGATCCCTTATTAGAATCAAATGATGAGGGAATAGGAACAGACGAAAGAGTTGACGACGTACCGTCTAGTGCTAAGGAATTGGAAAATTTATCTGTTTTAAAAGAAACTTTAGATATACCTCCCTTGTGTTCACCGAGTGGAGTAACAAAATGTACAATAGTTAAGTGTATAAGTGTTGAGCGAGGCTTGGATGAGAAAGCGAGTCTCAAGCCTCCAATTTTATTCTCAGACTGTAGTCGCCCGTTAAGTCCCGTAAGTTCGAGAAGTGAAAGTCCTTTGAGTGATAAAACAGGCTTGGGCAGATTTTCGCCACAATTTTATGGTCGACAACTTCCATTTACCGATTCAGATGGCCTTTACGATTTTCCAAGTTCTGAGTGTGTTAAGGGAGGTAGCTGTAAAGGAAGCAGTACGGCTCACAGAAAAGCGGGAAGACGAAGAGATAGAAGATCATCACGGACGACGTCTCATGAAGTTGCGGGAACAACAAAATCTACGTTACCTCATATGCCGCACTCAATGCATAATTTGTTAGAAGTAAGTAAATGTAAAATATTATTGCATTCAATAATTATTTTTAATAGTTAACAATCAAAATTTCACTTCACTTTTGAAATATCAATGTATCAAAATCGCCTAAAGTAGATAAATCAAATCTTAGCCAAAAATTACATTAAAAAAACATCTGTTACTTCACTTTTTAAGGTGCCTTGTTGCGTAAATCGAGGCAGGAAAGGCGGCAGACGTAGATCAAGATCCCAAGCTCCTGCACTAGCGACATCTTCTTCCTCAGAGGAGTCGGTATCTAATGCATCAGTCGCGTCCGTCGCTTCTGCTCGCGAGTTAAGGCTGCCCGACTTGGATATGCAGGTATAAATATTGCAGAATTTACATATATTTTTTGGAATTTTATCCAATTTTGCTGTTGTCTGCACTATTCAATTTTATGATTAATTCCTAATTTTTTGTCGTCTTTGATTGAAATTTTGGACTTGTTAGTGGAAATATTAACGCAAAGCCTTGGTCTATTAGGGTTTTCTTTCTTTTAATTCAGAATTCCATCTTAAATTAATTCTTTATTTAACCAAATATATTTGCTTAAACATACACATTGAGAGTAGAAACTGACCAAAAAAATATTATTTATTTTCATTAAAAGTCCTTTTAAATATTTAAAATATTATTTAAATATTATTAAATTAAAAAATGGTTTCTTATATTGTAAAAAATGTAAAATATTTAGTACTTCAAATATTCTTTATTTATGTATGGATTTTCTTCATCAATAACAATAAACAAATCAGGCCGTAAATAGAAATCGCACATTTCTATTTTTTACTTTATCCATTAATTCGATCAAATAGTGACCGTGTACCTTTTTGCATTTTCAGCTGATTTGACTACCGGTTCAGGACCCATCTCTCAAAAAAAATTAAATGCAGTCAATCTTATTTAAAAAAATAATGTTTCCTTTGAGTGAAACTATATATTTTCAGTGTTTAATACTTTTCTTCCATGTTTTGTGCGTTTTTTCCACGACGTTAAAGTCGATATGTAGAATTTGTAAGATTTTATCCTTACCATAGACCCTATCGATTAATTCGATAAAATAGTGATGGTGGCCTTTTTTGCATTTTTATTTGGTTCGATTCCCGGCTCAGGTAAGCTTTTTTAAAAAAAATGAATGCAGTTATTATTATTTTTAAAAATAAAGAAATGTTTCCTTTGAGTAAATCTTGATAACTTCAATATTTAAGGTACTTTTCTTCAATGTCTCATCGATTTGTTCCACCCTGTGTATAAATAATGATAAATCAGTTATATTTTGTTAGTTTGTAGGACAGTCGTTTCATACAACAATGGAGTAACAATTCAATGTAATTTTGTGCATAGAGCAAATTCGGGACTGGCAGTTATATATGCTAAAATTGTCGTAGTATCGATCATTCGTCGTCCCCGTCGGAAATTAGTTGGTTGAAAGATCACTCAGGTCGTGGTGAGGGGGCTCATTAGCGTCTGGCAATGCAGCTGGGCGTGAAGCCAAGAAGCGCATTGGGTGGCGGCCCACCTCGGTGGGTGGTATGACATGCGGGTTGCTCCCGATACTTCTCTGATAGCAGAGTACTCAGTCGGAGCAACCCCATGCTTGTTTTGGTCTACTTCGACGGGCCTGCTGTCGGGGTATCGTGGTGGGTTGGGTTTTAGTTGGTATTACTTACTTTGCCGGTGAGTCCCATATAACCATCGGTATGCATGCAGGTGGTATGCGTAAATGTATTTCCCACCGTTAAAAAAAGTAATACAATGAAATAATGATTGATGAAGGAACTCGATACTTCCCAAAAAAATACTTTTAGCTTATGCGCTTTAGCTTTAATATAAAAAAGTACCTAATATACAATAACTACTAACAATAAAAATGAGATCGTCTAAGCACAAAATGTTCTACGTTATGATGTCGTTATCACTATTATTGTGTTATAGCTTGCACTTCAAATTATTTTAAGGAAAATTAAGGCATAGTTTTGATATATTTTGAAAAATTATCCATTATGAGATAATTATGCATAAATATGTATATGAATATTGATATTTCATTTCTATGTTTCTAATAATAATTTCATTCGCTAACTTTGCCTATATTTTCTCTATAAGCAATGGTTTAGCTTGTTACGTTCAGTTCGCCACGTGTAGTGTGTTCGCAGCCAGAGACCACGCGGCCCAAGAAGCCGCTCCGACGACAGAAGTGCAGGAGCTCTGAGGTGATTGGCTTTATCTGACCATTGTACTGGCTACCATTATATTTTGATCTATTACTTTACAAGCAATCTTATATTTCTTATTAGCGCGTCTCTAGATGCTTATTGTATCTATATTTTTAACGCCTTGCCCTCGCTTCCCTTGGGTGCCGTTTCCTAGATGCCGAACAGTAGCTCACGTATTGCTCCACTTCATAGTCTGTCTATATACATTTAAATTCATCGAGCCATTTAAGTTTGAAGGAGTCATATTTTCTTTTTAATCCTCTTGATTTGCCCTGTTAACTTGGTCTTTATATTGAAATAACTTAAGACTTCAAAAAATAAAGCAATAAAATATGTCGCTTTATAATAATTGTAGCCAGTATAATGCGTGTTATATATCTGCATTTTAGTTATTTTTTATATATTTTCTTTAATTTTCACACTATTTAAATAAAATAAATCTAAAATATTACGACAAATAGTTATAATTTTAATCATTAAGCATTATAATATGTTACATTTTTCTAATAAAATTAAAAGAAAATATTTTAGACCAAATCCGATAGAAATTCGGTATATAGTTGAAAATCAATATCTTGAAATTAAATGGATGATTGACTATTGAGCTGTAGTCTAGCCATTAAATAATCATGAAAATCGGTTCACAACTGTGCAAAGAAATTGCCTGACATGCAGAGATAAACATACACCCGAATTGAATTTCTGCATCTTTTTTAAAGTCCATTCAAAAAGTATCGCGTACTGCAACTACTATTTGCTTATCGAAGTCACTGTTAACTATTGATAGCAACTTACACGTTCTTTTGTCTTAAATAGAGAGTTCAAAGATGAAAAATTATAGCTTTCGAATTAAATATCGATTCTTTCTATATTCTTCTTTATATTCTATCGTTATTAGGTATATTTTTAAAGCGAGAAATTCTCTCCATCAAACTAAGTATTTTGTTTCGAGACTAGCGGTAGAAGCTTTTAGAGTTTTATACTGTAAGTTATACCAAGTAGAGTGATTGTTATATTACAGGACACGTCGTCAAAAATCTCTTCGAGCTTGGACCTTACAGAGGACTCGCGGAAGCCAGCCAAAGTGAACAAACTACGGACTATCGGAAACCAAATCAGGTTTAATGTTTACTTTTATTATTGTCATTATAAATAATCCTTTTACTTTAGACATCTAGATAGACTTTCAATATCTTCTTTTTAGTAGATATTAGATTTTTAACGCAATTTGCTTGCATTACTTAAAATGAAAGTAGCGTACTTGTATCTAGTATGCTTAATAAGTAACATATCTTTTGTTCTTCTTAAAAATGATTACTTATATACTAATATTTTATCAGAAAAATATTTATGGAAGCCTTTATTTTATTTAAATTTTAAACAACTGCCTGATACAATAGCCGGTGATTACGGGTTCGATTTTGACAATAAGTACGCCATAGATTGGCGGATAATAAACAAGTCACGTACATTTTATTTATATGAGCCTAAATTAAATAATTTATAATTCAACCATTATTCTAATCAATTTAAAAAACAATAATTAAAATAATAATTTACTATTACCATCGATCAAAAAAGTACTAAATACACAATCCCATGCAAAAGTTTTCTTAAAACTGTTACCAATTGTGTTTAGATTATTATTCTAGTTGAAATAAATATACAACAATGTAAATTGCACCTTATATGCAAAGTTTAAAGTTTTCTTTACAAAAAAAGTTAAATCAAAAACGCGCTCAAATGTTCAAATGAGCGCTCATTCGGTGAGGACATTTTTTGCCACTGATTATGTATCTAGTACATTTTTGATCGATGACTATTTCTCACAAAACCAACATGATGTACGTTCAAATAGAAACATTTCCACAGATTCCTTCGTCGTTTAGAGCGAAGTTTAAAAATGAAAGAAAGCTACCCCGCGATATCAGACGACGAAGGCGACGAGTCGTCCAGTGTGACGTCACCATTGCTTCAGGGGAGAAAGGAACTCAATAGAACAGGTCACGCCATATCTGCACCACTACTTACTGCCCGACCAAAGATAACTAGACAGAGGAGATACGACAAGTCTCTATGTAATGAAGAAACTAGGACGTTAAGTGCTGCACCGGGACATGATAATTCTGATTAAATTGTATTTGTAAGAAATAAATACTATAATGGTTATTGGTAACATTTAAAGGTTTTCAACGTCAAAAGTTTTTTAAAAGGTAAACATAAAAGGAATTCCTTCCGATGTTGTCTAGATTGTCTAAATTTGGGGTGAATTGATGAAAAAATACATCGAAAGAAATGGGGAAAAACTAAAAGTGGGAGGCAAAATTTATGGGTAAGTTTAAAAATTGAGAAAAACTATTATATTTACCATGTTTTCATACAAGATTCTAATCTAATGTGATATAATGTAATGTGACGCGTAGAATTGTTGTTACTGTAGCCATATTTATTCTTGCGTTTCAATTTCGTTACGTTTTGATGTCTTCGATTTTCGATGGTAAGTTTTGTAAATAAATTTCCGATAGCAATAACTTATTTAAGTGTGTGTGTTTTATTAGAATTAGCGGGTAAGGCTGTCTGCACACTGCCGTTTCCGAATGCGGTTATTCAAATACGTTCTGATATTGAATTCTTGAAAAAAAACTTCGTAATTGAAGGAATACTTTCATTTAATCAAAATTTTAAAAGTGTTGAACATTAAGCACTATTTACACTACCTTTTTCGCTTTCAGCAAGGTTGTAGATAAAAAACTCTTTTTTAAGAAAATGTCAACTTTAAACACTCTTTATTTGAAATTTCGAACTTAACGAACATCTTAATCAATTCAAATCGCTATTTGAATTTAGAACACTGATTTGGAAAACGGAAGTGTGTTAGCAACATCATAATATCTTATGAATTAACATAGTTACGTTCATTTAGCAAACTCAGATCTAAAGCATAATGTGTGTATTTCTTTGAACGCACTATTATTTCTTGTTATAAATAAATAATTGTATAAAGATGTTTTTGTAAATATTTTTAAACGTATTGCTCAAATGGATATTTTGTGAGTTGTCTTTTGTGCACTATTTGCTATTGTACATATATTGTTTGATATGTACATACCGGATACGAGAGAATTTTTCTTTCTTTATAAGTACCTATATGCTATATATAAAAGACTTGTAAGTTGTTAGTTCGTAAGATTAAAAACAAATCGAAAGGCCCAAAAAAATTGGTATACCAAATGCACAATTACTATTTACTCTTATACTAATATATATTGTGTAAAATAAGCACATATATTATGCTAGTAGGTCTTGAAACCTAACTATTCACCGACGCACTATTTCATTTTAATTGTTCTTCATAATATACTTATAATATCTTTCGTAAGTCTGACAATTAAAAAAAATGTCTTTTAAATTGACTTTTATGAAAAAAAGATGTTTGAAAAAAATAAAAGAATTCACCCAGCAATAATAAACATGTGATTGAATCGTTCTAAGACTGACTTGTGTGTGTGTCAGCAGTTTAAAATATAATTTAAAATTTCAGTAATTGCGTAATTCGTTACATGTATACATTTCTTAGATCAACTTGGATATAATCTAAGAAATTTAACTTAATTTGTACATACATATTTTAAAAATATAAAATAAAAAGATTCAACCACTTTATCGGCAGATTAATATAAAATTTCAATCTCGCCTTTGTTTATTTTCTCATTAAAAAATAATATTTCTTTCAATTGTTTAGAAATTGTCATGAGTTAAGATTTTAATTAGTTTTACAATAAACATTTAAAATAATGGCCTGTTTATTGAGACTGATTTTCTAAAACATATTCTAAAATTCTATTTTTGTTTTGCACTATTTTTGTACCAAATTATGTTTTTCCTCCATAGATTGTAAATTCTTTTTTTTTTCAAATTTCTAATTTAACTTGCAACAGCTTTATACGGCAAACTTCACTTTTCCTCTAGTACTATCTTTTGTAGCCATTTAATCTCCTAAACTAAGATTATTGTGCAAAATAACCTTTTATTGTAGACGGTATATCGACTTTTTTGATATTATTTTCGATTTTTTATTAATATTTACTCTTATCTGTTAACTTATACCTACGTTAATTTCAATTTATAACAAAACTTTATATATACCCAAAAATGAGCACCTCTTAATCCAATTCTTATAAGCAATATTATAAGTTAAGTATCCTTAAAAATATTCATAATAATTATTCTTAATGTAAAACGCTGTGGCCTGTGACGGATTCGCGTAGATGTAGTCCTATGTCAATGATGAAAATATTGATGTTCAGATTTTTTATCTGTCCTTGACCTTAAATACTTTTTTCTAGTTATTGTTTTAAAGTAAACGAAACTGTTGTTTATTATTTAAGTATAAATTCTTTAAATCTTTATGTATTTTTAAATGCTATCCTCGAATTTACGATTACCATAATAGTCATGTTGTAGGACCATTGATGATAAGAATAATTCACTTATAATAAGAATAAAGTGCACCTTTGTAGGTTAAGAAGTCGCTAACATTAACTTATCTTTAAACATCATTAAATAGTATTTGAGAAAATCGATATTTTGATTTTTCATCTGTTAAGAGTTTTAAAATCGATGTGCGTATGGTTTTTTTTTTATTTTTAACTAAAATGTTAATCGTAATTAATTTACAATTTATAATTTTATATTTTATGCATTTAGATGTGTGAACGAGGATGTAAATAAGTGCGATTTTACACTATACGCATATTTGTTAAGATATATAATCATAATTACCATCTTATTCACGATGTAAAAACAAAGTATATTAAATTTTGCTTGTTATTAATTCCAAGTGTTTTATTTTCTTCCACAATATAATTTACAAATACAAAATAAACATAGTAAAACCTATAAAATTGGTATAATCTATGTTATAGATAGGTACATATTATATTATACAAATTATAAAACTAAGTCCAAATTCTTATTGAAATAGTTATTATTATCGATACAGAGGCTGAATCTATAGTTTTTAGAATTTTTGTCTGTCTGTCTGTGGCCGCATCACGGAAAAACCATTGGAGGGATTTTGATGAAATTTGGTATGATGATAGCTATATCCGGGTCAACATATAGGATACTTTTTATTAGAGGAAAATATCCCATCTCTAAGATATCTATACTAAACCTTGAAACGTGAATACATAAATTAATAATACATCACTTCCTGTATTAATATTGTCCTGACCGATTTCGGTCAAAGCGGCCTATCTTAGTAAGCCATGTGCGCAGAAGAGATTATAGTGTGCGTATTCTTTATTCCTTTTACTATCAAAGTCCGATGGGACGAAGCTTCAACGGCTTGGCTCCGATAGCTTTACGTGCCTGCACAAGGATGTCCTGCTAACTTTTTAACTCCGGACTGGTACTAAGAATTTCTGAACAAAAGGACCGGAAGGGCGGAAAAACACGCTTAAACAGTGTATAAAAGTATGTAAATTCGTTGCTTCTGAAGTTATAAAATATATGGAAATTAAATACACTACACGTTTGTTTAATTATACTGCTGATGAGAAAGGATTTCGGGCACATTGCTTGTAATAAAAACAATATTGTCATTATTTTTTTTATTAATAATTTAAAAAAATACAGCACAATTTACAGCTTTACAACTTACAATAGTTAGGTACTTATTCACTGGGATTAATGACTGATAGAATAGACAAAGCGCACAGAACCATAGAGATAATACACATAGAGTAGGCAAGCCGGTCAAAAGTGTGACGATAGAAAGGGACAAGAATAACCAGATCCCTTTCTATCTCTTTTTATTTTATACCTTTAAAACGCGAAAGTGATAAATTAAATGACTTAAAATATAGAATTGGAATATACTATAATAAATTAACGATTTATGGTGGTCAATAAGAATTGTGCGTTATACATTACACACACAACCACACAACTACAGTACATAAAAGATTTAAGTTATATTAAGCGTATTAAAAACGAAATAAAATTAAATTTCATAAAAAAACTAAGATTTTAAGTTATTACAAAAATTAAGATATTATTTTATATAAAAAATAATTTTTTCATTACTCATTGTGCGTTTATTTTAATTTGAGTTATGCGCCATAAAGTCTACTAATGCGCATGCGTCATGAAACAAAGATAGAAACTAGGCAGCTATCTTTTTTTCTCCATGCCTCACCGTCACTTATGTTGCCTATTCCATACTACATACTATCTATATGCGAAAACGACAATTAGTTTATATTTAAATCCAAAAATACTTATATTTTATAGTATTAAGTTTTAAACAGCATATTTTATTTAGAAGTCCATTGGCTACAAATTCGTGCATTTGTACATAATACAAAGTCAACTGGTACTGGTTGTCCCGATAGGAAAACGTAGGTACTCCTGCCCAGAAGATGAAAATTTAGTATTAGATTTGTTTTTCAATGAGAAATCAAAAAAAAATTTCAAAAAATTTCCGAAAAAATTAAAAAAGCTATCTCAATCTCGATATGTCCACCTAAGTATATTTAGCTAAGAACCAGATCGAACTAAATAAATAAATATATTGGGAATTAGCACATACCACCATACCATGATAAGCTACGAGGCTTGCGTTATGGATACCAGATGGTTAATAACATTGATATAAATATATACATATCATAAATATAAACACCCATGACTGGAACGCAAGACACTGGACTCAAGCATTCGTACTTATCACACAAATGAACGCCCCCAGCGGGACTCGAACCCGCGACCACTGGCACAGTAAATAGAGTAACTATAAACTAAGCCAAACGTATCGTCAACTAAATATAGCTAAAAACCATGCATGTGATCCCATATGAGCACAAAAAATCATCTAAATCGGCCAAGCCGTAGGAGGATAGCACGAACACATGGACACCAGAATAAAGAAAAACTAATAATTTTTGAAAGACAATTGAATTTTATTTACAAAGCTTATTTCTAAATATCACAAATCACAATATTCACTTAGGTCGGCATTCAAACATATTTTTTTAATCTATTGTTATACATTTAATATATTGTGAAAAAATTATATTCGGAAAATATTTAGGTGCAATATTTACTCGTTTAATTTATTTAAAAAAAAAACAGAATGAATTCGCGAAGAAAACCGAAAAGATAATTTTATTTAAAATGTCATTTTTAGGGTTCCGTACCCGAAGGATGCCAACGGAACCCTATTACTAAGCATCTGCTGTCCGTCCGTCTGTCAGAGGGCTGTATCTCATGAACCGTAATAACAAACTAAATAAACAAAAATAACAAACTTAAAATACAAGAAACATTTTTTAACGGTCGTAATCGATCATCGAAGTTATTATTATTTAGTTATTTAATTCTTTTAATTCGTCAAAAATTACTGAATTAATTTCAAGGGATCTCTTGTAAATATAAGGGTGGACTCAATTTCTCCCCCCAAACGTGCCCCCCAAACCTTGTCGTGGTGCGGGGGCTCAGTAGTGCCCGGCAATACAGCCGAGCGCGAAGCCAAGAAACGCACAGGGAGGTGGCCCACTTCGGTGGGCGGTGTTCCATGTGGGTTGCTCCTGGTACTTCTCTGTTGGGCAGAGTGGACCTTGGAGCAACCCCATGGTTGTTGTGGTCTGCTTCGGCAGACCTGCCGTCGGGGCGTCGTAGTTGGATGCGTAAGCGATCCTGCGACGCCCCATTAAGACGGGGGAAGGTTTTGTTGGGTTTTAGTGCGTAGTACTGGTATTATTACGCCCGCGCCGGTGAGTCCCACACCTCAAGCGTAAATGCATTTCCCAACATTAAAAAAAAAAGGGTGGACTCAATTTCCGCACTTAAACTAAGGGAATACTATACGGGACTTAAACGAGGGATCTCTTTACAATACTCGAAGAAAACCAGGCAAAAATATCTCTTAACATATGTAGATACAAAAAAAACACAATTGAATATGTCTTTTAAATGAAGATATAAATAAATTATAATTTATATAAAAACATTTTTATTCTATTGATAGTTTTTTTTCTAATCTCATTTATTTTACTGCCTTACCTTCTTGCTTTAGATGAAATAAAATAAATTAAGTATACAGATTGAAAATATTTCAAATTATGAAATATTAATTACATAGTAGATATTATAATACCTAAAGCCATTTACCATCAATCAAAAAATTACTAGATACACAATCCCATGCAAAAGTTCTCTTAAAACTGTGACCAATTGTGTTTAGGTAATTATCCTAGTTGAAATAAATATACTACAATGTAAATTGAACCTTAAATGCAAGGCTTAAAGTTGTTTTCACAAAAAAATATTAAAAGCGCGCTCAAATGTTCAAATGAGCGCCCATTCGGCGAAAACATTTTTTGTCGCTGATTGTGTATCTAGTACTTTCTGATCGATGCCATTTACAATAAAAAATGTACAATCATGCATTATTATAGAATATACATTGTAAGCTTTTTTTATATTAAATTATTTTATATTTCGGACATTAAAAATCAATAATTTAAGCGAATATAAAAATAAAAAAAATAATCTGTGTTATTATGCATTATATTATCACAAAACTATGACTGGCAAATATTAACCAATTGTACTTATTATTATTATTTTAAATTATACGTATATAATAGAAATTAAATACTTAATATTTTATAAATTATTTAGAAATTATAAAATCATGTACTAACATTACAAAAAAAAATTTCCATTAATTATCACTTGGGCATTATTTAAAAAAAGCACAAGCATACAAAAAATACGTAAAGATAATTTACAAGAAAAATGTTTGTGTCTAGACAAATACATTTCTGGGATACCATTAAAAAAATCAAAAAATCACTCTTCTTTAAAAAAAACAACATTTTTACAACCACAAAAAATCCAACCGCAAGTCACAACTCATTCCTAACCAAAAAAATATATATTAAAACATACCATCATGTATCCCAATCGGTACTAAGATAGCCAAAAATATGGCGAAATTCCTCAAAACCAACTTCCAATCATCGGGCACCGCATACGGAAGAATAATACTAGTTAACTTATGTATTTCATGGGCGGTGAAAATAAATATATAGGATGTTAAAATAAGATTTAAAATGGGAGCTCCAGGTATCAAAACTAGAACACCATGTGTATCTGCCGCTAACCATATATGGGATTGACTTGCGAACAGTTCTAAAGTGATAGTCCCAAACCAGGCGAAGAGACTGGAATGCTTAGTTCTGAGGGCACCCGACACATTTCTTAGGAGAATATAGCTTATAATAGGAAGAAAAGCCACGTAACTATGTATTTCGTTGCAATCGAATGTGTTTGAACAGAAAAATGTAAAAGTGATGTAGCTGCCTAAACCTATGAAGGCTAGAAACGTGGCACTAAGAGAAAGTCCGGGAGTAAATAAATTGCTGTGGTTGTTATCGTCTAGGAAATTGTATCTTTGTGCTAGAAGATATGCGGTTGCGAATATTATGCCGTACGCCATTGAGTACCTGTTAAATATAAATGATGTTAGAAAAACGTTAAGATATAAAATTAAAATATGTTATATACTTTTTAACATTCTTATGTACCTCTTGGTATACAAACAGCAAAATCACTTAAGAAATAATTATTTAATGTCAGCCAATCAGATGTAAACTATTTATTTATTATTTATTATTATTTTAGAAGTAACTCAAATATGAGCAAATATTTTTTAGCCTACTATTAATAGTATTGCATTAATAAAAAAAATTGTAATATTAAGATGAAATCGGATCTACATTCTCTAATAATAATATACTAGTACCAAAAATATTATTTTTAATTCACACAATATAAAAAGACAAACCCACCACCCCAAAAACACTCACCTATCCTGCTTCCAATCCAACCACCACTGGTGTATATCATCATCGGCATTCACAAACAAAGCTTTCCATGGTCTCATCACGAATATCTTCTGGAAGAACACTTCACTCATGTACAGGACCGTGACTATCGAGAGGAGGCCTAGAACCTTGAGCGCTATGTAGAGATACTGATAGGGCTTCGTCTCTATCGTGTGGGCAGAGGACTGTGTTATGTGCGGGGGCAGAGCGAAGATTGCGAACATCTGTTGAAAGGTTTTTTTAATGAAAAAATTGGAAAAGTGCGAATCTGACTCGCACATGAGGGTTCCGTAGCATTGAAATATGTATTAAAATAAGTTTATAATCGCATTTTTTTTTGGAATGTCACAACTAATTTTCGAGTTTTTCCCTTTACATGTGCTATAAGGAAGTAGATTTGATTTTAATTTTCTTGCGAGTGTCAAAATATGTGGCATAAACGTCCATATCTTTTGATTGCATTGACATAGAAGTTTGTTCTTTTACAGCTCTAAGGGATTGCAGAGCTGACTTGACCTTCAAGCGTTCCTGAGAAAGAGGATCTCGACAGACATACAGACGGCCAACGAAGTGATTCTATAAGGGTTCCTTTTTCCTTTTGACGTTACGGAACCATAAATAATCAACAAAATATCAACAAAACCACTTGTCGGTAAAATATATTTCTTGCTTCTCCTGGGCAAACTCGCTAGATCATAGACCTTATCTATGCCTTCAAGCTAAGATGAAGGTCAAGAATGAGCCTATTTTTCATTAAAAAAATATATATACTCATTAAAAAAACACTCACCAAAGTATACCAAAAGGACACCAACGGTATAAAACTATAGAACTGATATGGTCTATTCATAGTTAGGCAGAGCACAATCGTTAGAAAATTCAATCTGAATATCACTCTGAAATATCTCACAAGGCCCGTGTCCCCGGTTTTCCATGTATAATAGAAATGGCCATATCCAGTTAAAAATAGATAGGCAGAGATGAGTGCCCTAACTAGCATGTATATGGGAAGGACTTTACTCGCACCGGTCACTTGGTACACTAAAATAACTAATTGCATCCAGCCTTTCCATTCATTTGTTTGTTCACGATGGAGAACTCTTGAATGGCTGAAAAAAAAAATTACCAACTTTAAAGAAGGAGGGTTTTCTATTTAGCAGTATTTTTTTGTTACGTAAGCAATGATTTCGCGATTTACAAAGTGATTTTAATAATATTTTTTACATATTAGGTGTTTTTAAGATTCAAAGAATAAAACATCACCACAATGATGTTGTAATTTTGAATTAAAAAATATTTTTTAATTAGTTAACTTGAATTAATACAATTTATTTTAAATGTATTTACCAAAAAAACAAATAATTTTAAAACAAATGGTATAGGCATTTTAGTTCATTTAGAAATCCAAAAGTTCGCATTTTATTCAAATGACGATTTTTTTTCTACAACAGAGAATATTATTTAATTTTATCTGTAAACGTTATGCATTGAATATATACACGTATGTTTGAAGATGTATCAAACCAATATTTGTTAAGGTAAAAGAGATACTCTTAAGTCTGCCTTTATCTTAGTCCGTCATTCAAAAAAGGTTAGTTGTATTTAAATAAATCTATACCAATTTACATATATAAAAAAAATAAAAAACAACTTACCTACTAGACCTCGATTCATCTGTGAAGAACAGTCCCAAAGCAAACACATACCCGACCGGCAACCAAAAACTCCATTCCGAGTAATATTTATTTTCCTTCATAAAGAAATTAGTTCTATCGCACAGATAAAAATACGCCATAATCATTCCAAGCTTGGCGATGGCGTTTATGGCAGATGGGGGTTCGATGATCTTTTGGTTGACGAGGGCATACCCTTCCATACGTTGTTTTATATTCTGTGACCAACGCCATATATACCGGATGCCGGCTAACACTGCGCTAGAAAAATATTATTGGACTATTGAGTATTCATTTAAAATAAAATATTAATGCATGGTAATATTATAAAGAGGTAAAGTTTGGGAGATTGTGACGTTGTAGGGGGTAATCTCTGGATCTACTGACCCAATTTAGATGAAATTTGGTAAGAAGATAGTATGAGATCCTGGGAAGGACATAGAATACTTTTTATCCCGGAAATCATCCTTTAAGGGGGTGAAAATGGAGATGAAAGCTTGTATTGGGAATCAAGCTAGGGACGAACTCGAGCGAAGTGAGGGTGTGTCGCTAGTGTTATTTATAGAACTGTAATACTTTCTTATATATTTACGCGAATATTTGACATTTTAAACAAAACTATCTTTTCGGATTGTGGCGCGGATTTATTTGCATTTTTGTTTCCCGACGTTTCGAATGCTTTACAGCATCCATGGTCACGGGAGAGACTGAGGTGTTACATGTCCTGGAGGTATAGTTGTTACAGACAGCCTACCCACAATTAACAAAATGAAAATTGCACTAATTACATTACAATATTTTTTAACTTTAAACATTTTTATAATTTTAATTATAATTGAATATGGAATATTATTTATTTAATTTTTGCTATTATTTTTAAAATTATTACAATTTTAAAAATATTAATTAGTAATCTATATTTAGTGTTGCCATTATTATATTTATAACCATAAAGAAAAATATAAAATATAGTATTAATTATTTAAGCCATATAATTGTTCTATGTGTAATTTAAAAAGTTAAAGTAATTAAGGATAATCATTTTAATTTAGTTTGCTATTATTTAAGAACAACTTACTAAGCAACACTATTACTATATACTTTTACAAATGAAAAATAAAAAATATTAATCTTATAAGCTATCATTTTGATCCACACAGTAAGAACTTACTACATCTACCTGTCTGTTATGTTTATATTTATTATCTGATTTTATTACATTAATTACAGGATCCCATGACGATGGTAGTACCCAGCCATCTTCCCTATTGAAATTTGTAATGTAATTGGTGCAATTTTCATTTTGTTAATTGTGGGTAGGCTGTCTGTAACAACTATACCTTCAAGACATGTAACATGTAACACCTCAGTCTCTCCCGTGACCATGGATGCTGTAAAGCATTCGAAACGTCGGGAAACAAAAATGCAAATAAATCCGCGACAAAATCCGAAAAGATAGTTTTATTTAAAATATAGAACTGTAATTAATGTAATTTATATAAATGTAATTTATAATAACTTTTCTTATTGGTAAAGCACTCCGTTTGCAAAATTGCAGATGCAAAATGTTATTCATCAGTCTTTATTTAGTACAATAATTTATTTAAATATTATTTGAACTTCGCTCTGCAAAAATGATTTATTGACTCGACATTTTGCATAAAACCTAACTGTAACTCGATAATTTTAAATCAACTAGAAATATATAAAAAATTAAAGTATTATTGTTTTATTTTATGCATAATGAAAAATGAAGTAAACGACTCATCTAAAAAAACTTTTACGACATAAAATGTCATTTATATTGTTTTACAGAGTTTCAATTCTAATAACAATATATTTTTTTAAATTAAATCTTACACTGACTCAAACCGTCAATAAAAAATCGCACCCACAAACAACAAACTCAATTAAAAAAAAAAGAAATAAAAAAACTCACCACAACAGGAAGAGCGCGAAGGTGACCACCTGTATCTGTGTGCAGGGCTCCGGCGTGGCGCAGCAGGTGCCGTCGTTGAAGTTCATGTGGTCATTGCAGAACATGTTCAGTAGTATCTGGGCCGAGTGGCGAAGCGCCGGGCCGCTCGCGGCGCCGTCCGTCGGCCGCGGGGAGTTCCACAGCTTCGTGTCGCTGTGTTGTAGTATCTGGTAATGTTTTATTTTTGTATTCATTGTTTTAATTATATTTGTATTATTTTAATATAATCTTTTCGGATTTTTATTGCGGATTTATTTTGATTTGGGATTCGCGACGTATCGAATGCTTTACAGCAATCATGATCACGGGAGAAACTAAGGTGTTAGACGTCTCAAAGATCAATATACAGTTGATACAGATATCTGTGTACTAAATTTTTATCCAAATCCGTTTAGCGGTTTCAGTTATGGAGTGGAATAACATATTTCATTATGGCTCATTTAAAGAATAAAGAAGCAACACCATGAAGCATTTCACATATATATATATATATATATATATATATATATATATATATATATATATATACATATATTATTTTATAAAGCATGCATAAATACATAGGTTAATTTGTATTTATGGACCTAATATATAGCTGAGTTTATTTAGATACTAGCGGCTCACCCTCGCTTCGCTCGGGTTCGCCTCTAGAAAAACACTTATAAAAATCTATTAGTTCCCACGGGAACCGTTCATTTTTCCCGGATAAAAAGTAACCGGTTGTTTGACCGGCAATATAAGGTATCAGAATGTTAAATTTCACTAAATTAGGTGCATAACTTGTATAAGTTATAATAGTTTTTTAACTATCCCACGGGAACCATTATATTTTCCGGGATAAAAAATATCTAAGACGTTGTCCGGGGATATAAGGTACCACCATGCAAAATTTCATTTAAATCGGTCCAATAGATTCGGAGATTAGCCCGTACAAACAGACAAACAATATCACACGGGAACGCAGTCGAACGGGATAAAAAGTATACTATGTCCGTCTCTCGGTTCTAAGCTACCTCCCCGCCAATTTTCAGCCAAATCGGTTCAGCCGTTCTAGAGTTATAAATAGTGTAACTAACACGACTTTCTTTTATATATATAACAAGATGTAACCCATATCATCAGAAGCAGTTTAAAAGGCCTTTATTTATTAGGATATTGATAATACAAATGCGACTTGATCACAGTTAAATGGATTTAAATGAAACTTGACACATCGAACTTTTCCACAGATGTCGCTGTTCTAGAACATATAAAAAAAAGAACAGAACATATTTTATATTGGTTTGGGTCCATTCAAGTATTACGCTAGCAGAATTTTAGTAAATATCAACCCCTCCCTCCTGCTTATCAGTAAAGTAAGCTAACTTCTTATTGATGCATGTAATCATTATATTGTATCAAAATAACAGCTGTTTCCTAAATTCATATGAAATTATATAACTACAATACTTATAACAAAAACACATTTTATTCTTAAAAATCTGTCTGTTCTGGTTAATCTCCGAAACGGCTGGACTAATTATGACGGATCTTTCATTGGCAGATAGTTGATGTTATAAAGAGTAATTTAGAATTAGGATTACGCTCAAAAAAACTAAAACGCACCCGAGCGAAATGAGTGTAAGTCGCTAGTCAATAATAAGCAAAGCAAAGACCCCCCGCCAACCTTTGATGTTTTTACGTAATACTTCATTGGCCACTTTAAATTAAATCTAACCTCAACAGCAGCTCTATTATACGCGTCGATATCACTGTTACTAATTTTCACATCATTTTTCATCTTAGAAGTGTCAACAGATTCCAGAATCTTCCATAGAACTTGAGTCCCTCTTGCAGATAAAGCGTCTATCGGTTGGACAAGTTGAGTTAAATTTCTTTTATATTCTTCTAATACTTGCTGTGTTGTGTTTCTATTTTTTATTAACTGTAATCCGGTACTGGCCACTATTACTGAGGGAGGTCGGTCTGAATATTGCCTATAAAATTAAAGTTCAAAAATTAAATTAAATAATGCATCGCATTCATACTAACAATTATATTGTGTTGGAATCGGCAAAACTTACACAAAAGGGCCTCTGTATAACCAGACTACAAAAAATATATTCTCAGGATGATTAGAACTGAGAGAGTGAAAGTTGGGTAAAAAATAACTACATTCGTCAATTATTGAAGGTTTTCAAAGATGATCAGTCGAAAAAAAAAACATTTAAACCAAAAATTTAAATTAATTTATTTAAAAAACAGTGGGCCACCTAAAAAGGACAAGTATTTTTGTTTTTTATTTCAAAAACTTTGTTTTTCTATAGGCGATAAATTTTACCCCCAAGCTAAGAAAAATACTTATAATATAATATATCCACCTCAACTCTAATACATATAAAATAAAATAGTTAAAAAATTATTAAGCAACATAAATATAATTCGCAGTTAGTATAAGAAAAAATATATATAAAATACCATGTTCTAAACTGGTCCACCATTGTTCTAGAAACATCATCACTCCATATAAATGTGACAGACAGTTTCAGCTTGTTATCCACATAAGTATAATTGGGCATTCTATGATCTATAGTTGAATAAGATGAATCCATATCTAAACGAGTTTTGAGTACACCTGATGAATTTCACCGCATGTTAATTAATTAGTAACTAGGAAATGAGCTTCAGCTTCGCTCAATGTTTTTCAGAAAAGATATGAAAATTTTGCTTTTTCGGAAAAGATGCATATAGATTAACTTAACTTAAAGCCGTTTCTGAGATACACAAAATAATTGTATATATATACAAGAATTACTTACTTAATCTTATAAGATAACATAAACTTTAGTGTCAAATTAAATATAAATTATTTAAGGCTCTTTTTAGTTGTTAGCTACTCGTAGTTGATAATTTTCAATTAAAAAAATGATATTGTACAGCTGAGTAACTTTACCTTGCTTTGCTTGGTACATCCCTAGATGTAAATTTTACTTATGAACTGATTGAAACAAAACAAATACTAAATGATATGTGAAACTTACCACAATACATTAGCGATAACCGCACCCAAATTGGTTAAGCTGTTTCTGAGATTAGTGCAACAAACCCACAGACAAACAGACAAAAAATCTAAAAATCATTGTTTTGGGTTCTATTGCGTTAATAAAGACCCCAATAATAGTTTTTTTTCAAAAATCTTCCATGTAGAGACAGCACTAAGTTACAATTTTATTATATGTAAAATAATAAGCTATGTGCAAAAACAAAAAATAATAATTGAATATTAAATTGTTACAAATTTTTACCTAGCGTCATGATACTACAACCAGTTCAGAAATAAAATTTTATCTAAATCCAATTGTTACAGTCAAGGAATAACAAACACAAATATAAACTATTGCATATATAATCATTGTTCAGATAATTATACAAATATTGGACTTACCAATAAAGTACTCATATAACTGTTCTACCCTCGAGTCACCTATAAAAGCAAAACTGTTGTATTTGTCCCAAAATGCTAAATATCTTAAACATCTTCTAGCGTCACTATAATCAAAAAATAAAATTATATATTTATATATGTTGTATTAAAGTCAAATAATTTAATTAAATAACACTTTCTAAGAAATTATTTTAATGGAATCAAAAGAAAGAAAGAAAAAAAGGATGAAAAATAAATATTCCATAACTAGAAATATTTATTTTATTTCATTTAAAATCAATTGTTCCTGTAGGAGTATAAATTTGAAGACTTACGTTTTAGAATATTTGTGCAACATACACCCATATGGCTGCCATTCATGGTCACCCTTATATCGACCAGAAGATAATAACCAAGTGCATGAATCAGGACCTGAAATTTGACAATGTCAACATTTTTATTTTAAATTACAAAAGAAATCATTCCCATACATATTTGATGACATCTTTGGCTCAATTTGTAGTGACCCTACTTGCTGTGCCAGCGGTCGCGGGTTCGAGTCCCGCTGAGAGCAATCGCTTGTTGTGATGAGCACAAATGTTTTCTAGTCATACCCATGTTTATATTTATAATATGTATATATTTAAAGTTATATATGTGTAGTGTATCAACTATTTGGTATCCTCGTTAGCTTACCATGGAATTAGATAGTGCTGTGTGTTAATGACCCAACATATTTATTATTTATACTACGTATGTGTGAAAACATAGCTTACCATATCGTAAATGCAGTATTCCATGATATCCAATAAATCCTATAACTAGAACAAAGGCCAAAAGTTTTGCATTATCCACATTTAATTGGTCGATAAACCATTCGGCAGAACTCTTTTTTGAATAGGAACCCATAACTATTGTAGGTTCGCAACATGAATTAAAACCTTTTTTAACGAATGATACAATGACACATTTGGGAACTTAAACAAGTCCTTTTAAATAAATATCTTATTTTACATGTCATACATTTCTTAGAAATAGATACAATAATAATATTGCAATTCCATTTTACAAAGTTATCTTTAGTGAAAATCGTAGGATTTGACAGTTAATATGACATTAACATAGTAGTGTACACAACTCACAAGCCGGTAGGTATAGATATGGTAGAACTAAAGAGAACTATCTCTCGGATAAAAAGTGACCAGAGACAAGCATCTAATTGGTGGCGCCACAAAAAACAAGTAGATGAATTTAAAACAGCGCCAAAAGCCATAAGAGTAAGATGGTGAATTAAACAAGGAAAGAAAGATTTCCGCTTTGTTGTGACGTGATATCAGCACATATCACTATATGTGCTGAATTATTATTACTTGAAAACAACATGTAATTCTCTATCGGTGTTTGCCTATATTAGAACTATTTTGAAATGTGCGTCACAACATACCATTAGCAGTTTTAAATGGAGTGCCATTTAATATCTACTTAATATTAATATTAATAAAATATCATATCTACTTGCTACGCCAGCGCTATATCGGTGGGTTTTTGAATTATAATTGTTGATTGTTGTTGAGTTGGTTCTCCTTAGTTCAACCCTCCATAGTCCACGTCAGTAATAATGGGTACGGATTTTATAATTTATTTATCGTCTATGGTATGTAGGGTAGAGGTAAGGAGAACTTTCTCTGTGTATAAAAAGCCACTGACAAGCGGAATCAAATGACTGGGGAAGATTTTCGAAAGGAGGGCGCCATACGTATGGCCCCCTATTTATATTGAGGTTAAACAATTTATTGTGATATCTCTTTTGTACTTGCTTTTTTGCATCTATTGTGTTTGCATCTTACCTAAAATCTTTCAAGACATATTTTTTATGTAGGCATCCTATCGGATCAGAAGGATTTATTTGAAATTCATCTTCTAAGCGGGTAAAATAGGGGATTAAATATTGTATGAAACTCTGTCGTTCTTAATGTCACAGAAAGTGGTGTTAACCTTAAAGATAAAAATAAGAAATATATTTATTAGATTTTATTCGAAATTCATCCCTTAAAGACGCAAAAGGGGATAATAAAGTTTATATAGGCAAAGAATTATTTGTGATCAAAATTACTTGAAACTAAGTATTAATGTTCTTCAATACAATTAAATAAATACGTATTTTAGGATTTATCGATATTAAATCCCATAGAGGGTAAAATGGAGAATGAAAGTTTGTATGAAACTCTTTAATTAATATGTAAAAAGTACAAAAAATAAAAAATATAAATTCACCTGTAGACGATTTAAGAGTTTTAAAATCACTTTCTTAAAAATTATGTCCACATAGCCTTAAATATAAAGATTGTGATTTTGCCTTTGGTCATCTTATTACTTTAGTCCACAATTTCTTCAGTTTTTGTCTTTTGGTAATAAATCACATACATTTTCTTTGGATCCTAGCACTGCACGATTTTTTATTTTAATTAAATCTAATATATTTAAATGAGCAATTCTTGTGTGTATATAAACGTCTCCAACGTAAAAACAAACGGCTAACCAAACAAACAACAACGTAAAAAGAAACGGCTTCAACGATTTTCATGAAATTTAGCATACAAGGGGTTTCGGGGCGATAAATCGATCTAGATTAGTCTTATGTCTGAGAAAACGCGTGTTTTCGAATTTTCATGCGGTTTTCTTTTGCATTATTCCACGCAAAATATTATGTTCGATAACTTCACTCGGATATAAGCATCATGGTCAAGCGGCCAAGGCGCTAGATTGAATAAGTATCTGGGTTCGAATCCCGGTCGTATACATAGGTATAATATATTTTTGTTTTTTTATTTGTATTTATTCAAGTTTCTAGTTTTTTTTTAAATATAATTGTACTTTTAAACCAAAAACTTCGAGCGAAGCTCAGTGGCCCAAGTGCTTTTAAATGAAATGAAAAAATTTCATCCATGCTATAGAGCTTTACAATATACTAAGGGCCATAGAAATCGCGACATCTGGTGAGAGAAAAAGACAAAATTTTTCCCCATTGGAATATATTTTCGTACTTTAACGTTACACAGTACACATACACGACAAATGCGATTTGACAGCATCTAATGAATGTCGAACGCACGTTAATAAGGCGTTGCATTGTAATAAGCCCTAAATTTTATTTAAAAAAAAACAAGAACATTAATTTTAAAAATATACGATATGCTATTTATTTGTGTAATTAAATGAATATCATATTTTTTAAATTTTGCAATATCTAATTATTTTAGCATTAATAAAAATAAAATGTCATTGCACATGTGAGCCCTTGATATAAATTTTTAATGGCAACATTATACGTCTAAATTGGTACAATGGCGGCTATGTCCCCGTCGGAGGTTTGTAAAGTTAATTAAAATATTACAATTAATACTGTGTATCTAAAATTATATGTATACCGATTGAAAATAGTCTGTATACATATTTTTATTAAAATGTAGAACTTAAAAAATATAATTATTCTACAAATTAGTTATACGTAACTGTTGTGACAGTTTTCCTAGTAGATTTCTTGTCAGGATTTCTATTGTTGTGTTGTCGAAATATGTTTGTTTTGGAGAAGCCTATGAAGGTAGGAAATATGTTATTAATTTATTCTTTTGTTACAGAGACGTTTGCAAAAGGAACTTATGTCTTTAATGAAAGAGCCTCCACCGGGTGTTACCGTGGACGGAGACCAGGCTAGCCAAAATCTGACACTGTAAGTGACCTATTTACTTTATGGCTCCGATATTCCAGAAATATCTGTAAATGCAAGTACTTGAACTGCTCATGTATTAACATGCGACATCCTGTTCCGTATTATATATCACATTTGCCGCCTTCATTAAAGATCTAATAAATACTGAAATCACTTAATTACCCGAAATTTAAAATAAATCTTTAATGATTTGTTTAATAAATAAAACCTTCCAATATATATTTTTATATTATTTTAATAGAACACTTTCGAAAATATTATTGTTTATTAAAATAAAAATCTAAAGGTCAATGTCATATTTAAGTTATTAATAATCAATTTATAAAATTTAAGTTATTATATGACCAAAATGAATAATTTAAAATACTTCAAGCACTACAAACTGTGCTTTGCAGAATACATGCATGGAGTGGCATATTTCATAAGAAATCTCTCACCATAATAATTTTTGAACACCAAAAGTTTCTCTTGTTGTGGTTAGAGCAGATCTTACCTGCACTTGATTTCCATTTGAACATGATGTATCTAAATACTGGTTGGAAGTACTCCTTGTATTTCACTAAACAATCACTAATGTTTTATATAAAATATGATTTTTTACTTAACTTTAACTATAATACTTTCTTAGATTTCCATGATTCCTTATAGATCCATGCCCATGATTGCTGTAAAACATTTGTCGGGTGTGTCGGAATGACAAATGTTGTGAACCCATAATCAGAATAATTCCATGAAAAAAATCTAAAAAATAATTTTATATATCAAGTTATGTTTTGAATAATCTTTCAATTTGCTTGCATAATTTGATTTTTATAACACTTAATGTGCACATTTATTTTAAATATGTGCATGTACATTTGCATCTATTAAGTTTTAATATATAAACAGATTATTATTTTTGAGTTACTGTCAGTCATTTACATCTTGAGAAGTTGATGTTTGTGTATGTGCTTTAATTTTAATGTTATTAATGTTAAAATATAATCCACTTAATCAATACATATAGTAAAAGTGTAACTAATTGCTGTCTGTACACAAAAGATATTTTAGAAAAACTATTATTAGGGATCTATATTAACAGAATAAAACCCAAAACAATGATTTTTTGATTTTTTCTCTATTTGTCTGTGCGTTTGTGCATGCTAATCTCAGAAACAACTTAACCGATTTGGGTGCGGTTATCACTAATGTATTGTGGTAAGCTTCACTTAATATTTAGTATTTGTTTTACTTCAATCATTTCATAAATAAAAAAGGTTATCAATTTAAAGAATCACCTATTTGTAACTCCGATAGTTCTTTAATAATAAAAATAATAATACATCATTTAATAAACCAAATTGATGATAATAGTTTGTTAGTTTGAGTCTAATGAGACTAAGTACATCTCCCCATTCATTCTACAAAGTCTGTTAAATATGCAAATTATTATATACTATTATATCTTTTGGATTTGCTCGCATATTACCACAATAGTTAATTATTCATTAAAATAAAAAATATGCCTCATTTTACACCATTTAAAAGCATAAACCACTTTTTAATATGTATATGTGATTTCCGAGTTATTATAACCTATTCATTAAAAAAGAATTATGAAATAAAATGGATGCAAAATTTTCATAGTTTGGCCCCTCCCTCCTCCTTGGTGAGATTTGGTGCGACCCACCCACCTCACGTGAGATTTACGCTGCATTTCTTAAAAATTCAGAAAATTTTTTACTCAGACTTTTTCCTTTTTCAATATATAAGTACTCTGTTGTCTAATACATATACTATTATATCTAATAGAGTTATCTAATTTTGGCCATATTTATTAATAACTTTGTGCTCTAACTGTATTTCAACAATTTTGTAACGCTGTAAGATTACCAAGAAAGAAAGAAATAAATAAATAAAATAATAGAACCTTTATCTAGTATCTACTCTCAAAATAAATGTTTTATAATAGCCATGAGATTTTTTCAGCGGGCAAAATAGGACATTACAAAAAAAACTTTTTTTCTTAAGTAAAAGATCTGTATGGCAAAATTGAGAATAGTAGCAGAAACAGCAAAATTACGCTAGTATTTTTGACTTCGACATTTTTTTGGCGGACTCCGTCTATATAATTCTTTAATATTGATTGATTAATATGCGCCCTTCTATTCACTTGTACCAATTGGCAATTGTACTAAACTATTTGTTGAAAGTGCGTGTTAGCGGACTTAAGATTTTTTTTTTTGAAAACTTGCTACATTCTCTCAAACATGTAGCATGGCGGACTATGGCCTGATCCCCCTCGTATTGAAGGGAAGCCTGTGCCCAGTAGTAGGACGTTAAGAAGGCCTGAACATACGCATTTCTCAACGAACGTAAATAGTATGAATGATATATAAATAAAACAATATTTACTACGAGCAAGAACGGATTTGTACGACAAATATTGGCATAGTGTAAATATTGGTTTTATTTTTGGCTACTAGTTTGTAAACAGCATGTTTTAAATATGGCGTCTATAGCTAAAAATATATTATAATCTGTTTTAAGACTATTCTTATTGATGACGATGCTGATTATTGCTTTAGAAGACATAGTTTCTTGTATGTCTTTATTACAATAAGCTGAGAAATGGATAAGAGTACTATTTTCACCGTCAATTCACTAAAAAAAGGCCAACATTCAGGATATTAGACTATATATTTGACAAAAACGGTCTAAGTTTAATACTGTAGAATTACTTCATAAGACGAAATGAAATAACCATATTATAATATTATGTACATAGTTAATAATATTTTTAGTCTAGATATATTATTTTTAGTGTTACAACATACAAAACAGTCGACAAATTTTCTTCTTCGTCCGACTCAAGGCTCGAACCCGAATTTCTGCAGCCATACAAGCTAGCCACTAAACCATGAGGGCAGTCTCCCAATATAGGCTACAAATCAATAGCTAAATCGTTCGAAGGTTTTGTGACCCGAATAAATCACCGGTTGTCACATACACGAAAGTCCCCGAATGGTTTCGCATCACTTGTCACATTCTCTTCCGAAATCGCCAATGGGCAATGTAATGAATTTAGAGTGAGTTTCTAGATTAAGATTTAAAAAAATAAAATAAGTAAACTACATATATATTTAGTCCTCAAAAAGCCCTTTGCATTTATAATATTAACAGCGATTTACCATCTTAGGGTCCATCCCCAAGTTAGTTTTAAATAAATAAAAAGATAGTTATCGTGAATGTACCTACTTTAGGTCGTTGGATTCCAATACAAACTTTCAAACTATTGTATTCTCTTCAAGTTTTATTTTCACGATAAAAAGTAGCCTATATACTTGTCCAAGGTCCCATCTATCTCTATACGAAAATTTATCAAAATTGGTGCAACAGTTTAGGTGTAAAATTGTAACAGTCAAACAGTAGTTTGGAAGTCGGTATGGAAGCCTTCAAAAATGGAGTACGTTGTTCAACATAATTCATAAATATCATCATACTTACAGATTATTTTCGCAAAATGCTTTTGAATTGTAGCATATCCTTCCTAGTTGATCCCTCTTTTTATTCATGAAAACCATATCAAAATCCCTACAGTAGTTTCTGAAATAAGCACTAACCAACAAACACTCAGCGCGGCACGAGACTTTACAATATGCAGTGACCTTACTTTTTATTTATCATAATACATATAATAAAATTCTAAGTCGAATCTGTACATTTAATATTTTTTTGGAAAATTTTATTGAAACAGTCATTATTATCGATACTTAGGCCGAATCTAAGGTTTTTTGAATTTTTTGTCTGTGTGTAAACATGAGAAAACCACTGGACAGATGTTGATGAAATTTAGTATGATGATAGCTGGTTATCCAGGTCAACATATAGGATAGTTTTTACTGCGAGAAAATATCTCATCTCTGAGAAATCTATACAAAACTCGAGCGAAGCGAGGGTGAGTCGCTAGTAATTACTATAAATAATGTGAAAGTGTATCTTAGCAAGTGCTTTCACGCACAACGAAGCATCCAATACATCTATTGATAGTATTTACGACTCGCACGCGTTATACACGATGATGTGTCATGTTAGGTGTTTCTGGACAAAATAATTTATACATAACTAGCATTGCCCGCGTCTCCGCCCGCGTTCACATGACCAAAAACCAAATTCTTAGGTTTTACAAATTAGTAAACTCTTACATGTACAGTTTTGTATTTTTTGAGATATTTTCAGTTATTATCCTATATGTTGACCCGGATAACCTATCACCATACCAAATTTCATCAAAATCCCTCCAATTGTTTTTCTGTGATGCGGTAACAGAACGACAGACAAAAATTCTAAAAACTATAGATTCGGCCTCTGCATCGATAATAATGTTTATTTCAATAAGATTTTCCAAAAAATATTTTATGTACAGATTCAGCTTAGTTACAATTTTATTATATGTATAGATTGAAGCCATGGAACATACATACATAGCTTTTGTTGTGGGTGACGGCTTGTAAGTTGTAGGCAATATAAAATGAAAAGAATTTTCTAAATCTAACTGGTAGTTCCAGAGATTAGACAGTTCAGAACAAACTTTTCTGTATTATGCCACTTAGTTTATGAGTAAAGTAAAAACGGACATCGTCTTCTAACGTTTCTAAAAATCATCTTTTCATTTAACTATTTCGGATTTGAACGTTTTTTTGGACCTCTACTGTAAAAAGACTAAGAAGTTGACATAAAAAAAAGTAGCCGTATAAAACTTGATCAATTTCTTTTTCAATAAATGTAATCTATAAATTTTAAGAAGATAAATGTTATTTCGGTTTCCAGATGGACAGTACACATGGAAGGAGTACCTGGCACTCTGTATGAGGGCGAAAAATTCGTGTTGCAGTTTAAATTTACAAATAAATATCCTTTCGACTCTCCAGAGGTAAGTTTTTAAAACCTTTACGTACTACGTAGTAATAAATGTGTTATAGTGGTTGTGAAGATTGATCATTTCCTTCTAATTTTAATTTTGGGATATCTTTTTTGGCACATTAGTCTGCTGTCTGTGTGTATTCCCTAATAAATTTTATGTAAATCGACAGCTGAATTCGCAAGATTTATTTATACAGTTGTTAATAATCACGGATTCAGCTATCGTGTTACATAAAAGTTCATGCTGAATAACACTACTATTCTGTTTATGTATTTATGTAAGAGCTATGTGATTTAATAAGTATATAAACGACATGTTCTGTTCTATACAATGTCGATTTATAAAGAACCAATCTCACTTCCCTTATTCCTTAACTACACTTTGCACTTCTTTCAGTAGCCATTTGGAAAATACTTTTGCCACAGGGGAAAAACATATGGCGGTACGAAAAGTAACATTATATATATATATATATGTATGTATTCAGCCCTTCTTAACGTCCCACTGCTGAGCACGGGCCTCCCTTCAATATATATATATATATATATATATATATATATATATATATATATATATATATTTGTTTTTTTGTTGTTTATATATATATATACATATATATGCGTTCAAAATAAGTACATACATTAAGAAAAAACATTTGTCGTATTCGAAAATATAACCATTCAAGCTTTAAGCCTTTAATTTAAGCTTTCATACATTTATTGCGTTTTAATAGGGTTAATTACTAATTAGTATTCATTTAGTCGTATAGTGAGTATTATAATATAAATGATAGTGTAATCGGTTAGTGAATACGTTAGTAGTTTATGTTTTTGCGAATATATTATGTACATAGAATATGTGACAAAATTACAAAGCCGGATTTAGCGAAGGATAAACGGGGCTTCGGACAATAGTAGATGTTCTAATAATTTTTTTTGTCAAAGTAATAAAAATAATGGAAAAGTCAAAAAGATGCTTGCTTGTCTTTGTAAGTCTGAAATTTTGTAAAATAACAAAAGATTCTCATAAGAAATTCTTTAATTTTTGTGGAATATTATTAGATTCTATCAATGGGTGAACATCCATATGTAATGAACTACCCTGTGTCCGGTCTTCTCCATATTTTTAAATTCGATCTGAAAATTTATATTGTACCTACCACGTCACTGTTTATTTGAGCGTAAATTAACATTGTTAAAAAATAAATTTTTAAGTTAAATAAATATGTTGGGATATTAACATACAGTACCATCTAGTCCCATGGAAAGCTACGAGGCCTGTGTTATGGATACCAGATAGTTGATACACTGCACATATATAACAATATTATTAAATACATACATATTATAAATATAAACACCCATGACTGAAGTACAAACATTCGTGCTCATCACACAAATGAATCCTCCCAGCGGGACTCGAACCCGCAACCGCTGGCACAGCAAGTAAAGTCACTATAAACTGAACCAAACGTTTCGTCTAAATTATACATTTTTTTTATCTTATCAGATATCATATAAATACAATTGGAAAGTGTGTCATCTAGATCCATCTTGTGCCATACGATATATTACATAGGCTCACTATTACAAGGTTCTATGTTACAATTTTAGTACTTATTTAGTTATTAATGCTACAAGGTTTTATGTGTCATTAGCTACAGTTTTGCAAAAACGAACCACTAGATAGCGACACTTTAACTACAAAATATTCAATTTTACATAGTTCTATGTTGTTTTTTTTTACGATAACAAAATAACGAAGTTTTATGTAAAAATTACTAAACTTCATTAAAATTAACATAGAACCTTGTAATAGTGAGCCAACGAATTTATTATTATTTATTATTATTAACCACCAAAAAGCGTTTATTTAAACGTTTCTATTAGTTTCACTTGTACGTAACACGGTAGTCTTCAGTATGTAAACAAATGCAGGATGTCTATTAAACATGAGTAGTTCTAGATGTCGAATTGATTTGAATATTACACGTGTATGTTACGTGTATGACAACGTAATAAATTAGTATTATCTAGCTCGTTTGGTGATAATGGAAATATGAAGTGGTAGCAGAACGCCGTCGTATCAAACTAAAAAATAAATATGTTGGGACACTAACACATAGCACCATCTAGTTCCATTGTAAGCTACGAGGCTTGTGTTATGGATACCAGATAGTTGATACACTACACAAATATACCTTTAAATACATATAAATATAAACACCCATGAATGGAGTACAAACATTCGTGCTCATCACACAAATTAATGCCCTCAGTGAGACTCGAACCCACGACCGCTGGCACAGTAAGTAGGGTCACTAAAAACTGAGCCAAACGTGATGTCGATTTAAAACTTTTTATGTATATGTATTTCGGATGACAGTACTGTAATTTGGTATCTTGGCGATGATCTGATGATGCAGCCAGGAGATGAACAGTGGTACTCTTCAGTGGCTACTAGTGAACCCCTCGTGCTTGGACTCGTATGATTCGTCTTCACGAGTCCTAGACATTCTAATTCATCAAAAGCGTGTATTTTGGTTTTTTTAAAACTATAATTATTTAAACATATTTTATCTGACTAGACAAAACTTGCTAACGAGTCTGCTTTTCATGTGTAATTGGCGTGCCTAATGTAAATTTAACATTTCTTGTTTAGTTTAGCTTCTAAGCTTATTACTACCGTCTTAAAAAGTCGAAGGTTCTCCATTCGGCTATATTGAACTGAATGAATGTATTGAAATGAATGAATGAACCCGGTCTATATATATTGAGAGTAGGTACTATATCAAAAACAACCCCAGAAATGACACCGAAGGTTGTCTTGAAGCCTGAGCCATTGCTATATAAGACCAGTCTAGGCAAAGGTTATCATCGTGTTAAACAAGTCTATGCATTACACTTGCGATTATGTCATGTTTTAAATAGATATAAATATTTATTAGCCAGCGTTAGCCATATAAATTTTAATTATTTTTTTTTCGTTAATTTTTCTTTTTTTTTCTTTATTAAAACCTTCTGTGGACCTTAAGGAACATACGAAAAAAAATTTAGCCCAATTGGTCCAGCCATTCTTAAGTTATGCGCTTACCAACATTCATTTTTATTTATATAGATTGCAATCTTGTTACCGTTGTTCTGTGCACGGCAGGTGCTACGGCTAAGTGGCGATAAATATTTTGATACATACTCATACAGTAAATTTATGTTCAAAGTTGGTTAGTTTAGCGAACTAACTTTATATCTTTCTAAGCCCTTAGGTGTATTTAGAGCTAAACGTCTTGTTGGTCTAGTAGTTTTGCAAGCTTCTGCTGCTGCTTTGCGGCATTCTTATCCTAGAGGTCCCGGATTTGATTCCTACGTCAGTAATTTATAGTTATCGAGTTTTTGTATTAAGAAATTATTTATCAGTTACATCCCGGGAAGTTGATTCTGTTTGAAATCTCGAAAACCACACTAAGCCGTCGGTCCTATGCCTGAACTCCCACTGGTCGTGACGAATTGTACGTAATAATGGGGTTTGAGAGTGAATAGTGATTATTTGTATGGAAGTGGTCAAAAAGGACAGTTCTAAGGCTGTACATGTACATACATACACAGGTAGTTGATAAAGTAGGGTTCATTTTTTATTAACACCTCCAGGTAAATATCTAAGAAATTAATTAAATCTCTAAGGAATCTGTTGTTAACTATAAGTTGTAACGCCGGCGTGTCCGCGGTCGTTGAGGGATTAATGAGTAGGTATGTAACACACCACAAACATTGTCCGTGCCTTATTTTGAGCTTTTTATTTATATAACCGTGTTTATTAAACATGTAAACAGCTACTCTTATACTCTTGCATCCTGGTAAAGGTTTTAAATTGATAGTGAGGATATTAAAAAAAATGCGTGTGTGCAATTCCCACATGGTAGATTTAAAATTGAACGTTATACCTATTATAAATGTCAGACAATAACAACGGTTACCATGGCAACATGACAATGTATTCTATCTCATTCTCTCGCCGGCTTAACCCTATATATTTATGTGTTTGTCTCTTTCTAGTGCCGCATTTCCGTTTTATCGAGTTTCAAATCACAACGATTCTTAAGAAGTTTGACTTCAAAAAGTAGTTTTTGTATTTAATTTAGCTGGAAAAAATAAATTCTATTTCTGTATAAAACTATTCTAAATAATTTATTAAAGGATAGCATGAAGCTTGAACTTAGTGGAATGGTACATAGAATAGTTTTTTTTTTTAAATATGGAGACAAGGTGCTTCAAAAAGTTTCAGATTTGTTTGGAATCAAAGTTATTTTTTTTTGTTTCTGTACATTAACAATAAAGCGATTTCATATATATGTATGTATTTCATATATACTACATACGTGTATTAATCTTAACGACTTACAATAGCTGACTAATATCACGGTAATACATTACCGTGCTAATATTCCAATCGCTTTTTGAGTCATACTTTTAATTTGTTTTTTCCATTCTTATCTAATCACCGAAATAAAAATATCACTAGGGAACTCAAAACCGATCACATCGATCAGCTGCTGTAACTCTGAGTAAAAGATAGACCAACATACAAACATTCGCTAATTATGTAGTATACAAGCGATTTACCCTCGCTTCGCTCTGGTGCGTCCCTAGGTATTTTTTTGAGCGGAACCCTAATTCTTTTTCTAAAATAAAAATTGCCTAAGTTATTCCTTATAACATCAGCTATCTGCCAGTGAAAGTCCCGTTGAAATCAGTCCAGCCGTTTCGGATTTCCTGTAGCAAACAGACACACAGAGAAAAAAATAAAAAATTATGTTTTTCATACAAGTATCGTATATAATTTCATATGGATTTTGTTATAAGCTGTTGTTTTGACAGGTATATTGTAGCTAACAGAGTGTACAGGAATAAAACATGTCTAATGAGTGCGACTGAGAAAATCACTATTCAAATTGTAGAACAATGTGCCTATTAAATAATGCATACATTAATTAGGTAGCAGTAAAAAATCTATTT